ATGCCCCATGCTCACAAGTACAATGTGTGGAGAGTCAGAGTGTGTGGTGTGCCATGCCCCATGCTCACAAGTACAATGTGTGTAGAGTGTGTGGTGTGTCATGCCCCATGCTCACAAGTACAATGTGTGTAGAGTGTGTGGTGTGCCATGTCCCATGCTCACAAGTACAATGTGTGTAGAGTGTGTGGTGTGCCATGCCCCATGCTCACAAGTATGGCGTAACTAACCTGTCACATCACATGAGATCGATGGCTTATCTGATGACAGAAGTGGGCGGCAAAGCAAATCGGGGTATTGAGCTGTCTGTGGGACAAGCAAGGCATGTCTCTGACAAACACTGCATGCATTTTGTACCTGGTTTTCCTGTTCGGATTTTTGTTTCTTTCAGAAAGTCGTTCTGGCGCACAGTCGGTGTTTGAGATTTGGGAACTTTGTCTTGGAGGCAGCCTAACTGTTTCATCAGCCATGTCCAGACCAGAGTGTGTATCTTGTAGAAGTAGTAGTAAGCATGGCAAGCTGCTGAAGTGTCTACACTCATTGTGTGTGGAGTGTTTGGAAAAATACATCAGTAGCAAGGCCTCTGTGGGATGTCCTGAATGTGTAACAACCACTCCACCACCACAGGGAGGTGTTCCCGTACCTTCCAAATAGTGATGTGTCTAGTGATGGGAATGAGGCTACTGCTGGCACACAGTCCAGAAAGCTGTGTGATGAATGTGCTGAGGATACTGGAGCAGTGGCTGTTTGTATGGATTGCAGGGACAGTTTCTGTTCCATGCATGCCGAGGTTCACCCAACTTTCCGCCGGACTTACAAACACAAGGTTGTGCCACTCAGTGAGGCTGCGGGTCATACAGGTGATAGAACATCAGCCAGCCAGCACAAATGCACACTCCACCCCTCGTTTGTACAGTGTTCGTATTGCTTGAGTTGTGAGCAGCTAGTGTGTAAGCAATGTGTAAGCAGTGGTGATCATGCTGCTCACAATGTGCAGACTATCACTGATGCATCTTCTGGCATTCGTCAGTCCCTGAAAGCCAAGCTGACCAGCACATCACTTGGAAGTGGCGGTGTTTTTGACGAGTCAATCAAGAATTCTGAAGCAGCACTGAGTGGACTCCGTGATGAAACAGAAACGGTGTCCTCCAGGATCAACGACGTTTTTGGTGGGCTGAAGAAAGCCCTTGAAAACCGTCAGCAGGAGCTTCTGGATGAGGTAGATCGATTGCAGTTGTCACATCTTCTTCCCCTTGAAGAGCAGAAGCGGCAGGTACTTGCTGGTGCCTCGTATAGCAAGAAAGTTCAACATCTGGCAGAGAACTGCACTGAGGATGTGAATTTCTTGAAGATGAGTAGATGGCTGGAGGAAGCAGCGAAGAATGCTGTGAGTGCGTCCGAGAGAGATGTGAAGGGTTTTGCTCCGGGAACTCTATTGTTTTCGCCATACCACGTCGAGGAGCTGACTGCGGCCATTGCCAGAACTGGTGTGGTGAGTGACATTGGTGTGCTGTCATCGGAGAAGAGTAGCATGACTACTGCAGCCAGTGTTGAGGAGGGAGTCGACCTTACCGTGATCATTGAGCCAAGGAATTCCCACGGTGATAGTCTGGCTGTGACGGAGGCACATTTGTCTGGTGTTCGCGTTGACGTAACATCTGCGGACAACACCACCGACACCATTCATCCTGTGCTGATGCCCGACAGTAGTCCTAATGAAGGCACTAACATGATTGCAACGTACAAGACGACCGGAAAGAAGGGTTCAGTGCAGGTATCAGCCATGATTGGAGATCACCATGTAGCTGGAAGTCCTGCAACGGTTACCATCTTGGATCTACTTCAGTTTGATCCCAGCCAATGTCATGCTGATCTTGTACTGTCAAACAACAACCGAACGGTTACTCGTGGAGCTGCTTCCAGCGGCAGTATCTTTAGGTCAGTTTGTGGCATGAGAAAATGGAGTAGAGGCAAACACGAGATATACCTTCGTCTTGATCGCATCCATGCTAATGGCCTTCAGCACCTGTTTTTCTTGTGTAATGCCCAACGTCCACTATTAGACGACTGGCAAGGGGGAAAGGCCACATCGTTTGGATGGTTCAGCAACACCCCCACTGATAACTGGACTGGCAGTGCACTAGGTCAGCCATGGGAAGCCGGTGACGTCATTCATATGTCGTTGGATTGTGACAATCACACGTTAGTCGGTCGTCATGCGCGTACCGGAGCAACCGAGACACTGACGAACGTGACAGGGGAACTCTACCTCTACATCAGCCTGTTTTACAGTGGAGACCAAGTTACTATTTTTTGAACTTGGAACCACCGTGTAAGACCTTAGAGTGTAGATTTATTTCCAGAAGTTCTTACTATTGACTCTCTTGTTTGCATTAAGTTTGGATCCTAACTGTACTATACGCATATAGTATATGTACTTGTTTCTGATAGCCTGATATGGTGTATTTCTCCCTTTCGTCTTAGGCACTGGAACTTGTATTCCCAGTCCTTGCTCTTTGTCTACTCTTGTATGCACTCTGGTGCATGGGCCATGACAACCAGGATTTGTTCATTTATCAACTTTTTAGCACGTGCACTGCTGCCACATGTGTATGCGCTGCTGCCGTTTGCTTGCACGGCTGTCATTTGCTTGCATTGCTTTGCCCAAGATTTGGATATTGTACACTGGAGGTTTTCAGCAGCCACCTAGCAATGTGTTGTGTGCGCATGAAGCCCATTGCGTTTGTGTAGTAACGTTAGGCGGCAGTGTGTTGTTTTAGCTTTTTTTTTTTTAATGTTAACTACTGCAGCCTCGTTAGGTTCAGTTCTACAGCACTGTTCTGCAGCCTCGTGTTCTGTTCAGTTCTACTGGACTGTTCTGCAGCCTCGTGTTATGTTCAGTTCTACTGGACGGTTCTGCAGCCTCGTATTAGGTTCAGTTCTACTGGACTGTTCTGCAGCCTTGTGTTATGTTCAGTTCTACTGGACTGTTCTGCAGCCTCGTGTTATGTTCAGTTCTACTGCACTGCTCTGCAGCCTCGTGTTATGTTCAGTTCTACTTCACTGTTCTGCAGCCTCCTGTTATGTTCAGTTCTACTGCACTGTTCTGCAGCCTCGTGTTATGTTCAGTTCTACTGCACTGCTCTGCAGCCTCGTGTTATGTTCAGTTCTACTTCACTGTTCTGCAGCCTCCTGTTATGTTCAGTTCTACTGCACTGTTCTGCTGACTGTGTTCTGATGATGTCACTGCATGATTGTACTACTTCAATTGCATTCTGCTTTTTCAGCATGTATCGCACAACGACTGGTATGACAGTAATGTACCTGTGATCTGCTCTCTTATGCATAATGTCAGCGTCGGTGCATCCTGCTTTGGGACCAGCATAATGTCAGCGTCGTTGCATCCTGCTTTGGGACCAGCACACGTTATGAACTATTTCCACTAAGTTTTTACGTCCTTGTGATCAGTGAGTGCTTCTGTCACTTTTAACGTACAGTGAGTCCCAGTGTCTGCTCCAGTGCCGGGTCAGCTGGGTCAGCGACTCGGTTGGGGAGCACTTGGACCCGTTTGGTAAAAGAACACCGGATCAATTGTGACCCGGGTGGGAATACATAACATCATGGAGTGCTAAAATATTTATGGCTCCCTAATGTACATGCTCGTGGCCTGGCATGAGTAAAACATGGATGTGGCAAATGGGATTTAGGCCTTTGGCCTATGGTTGGTGAATCTGATCTATCCTCCCCCACCGTTTAGGAGCCGCATCTGACGCCTGATCATGGGGTGGTGGCGTCCCACGGAAGCGGAAAAGTGGTTTTTGACCAGGGAGTTGCACGACTCCTTGTTCTTGACCTGCCCGGTACGCGAACCCGTCGAATTTAAAAAAAAATGTACATGCAATAGCCGCACTCGAATATAGCCGGATCTGACCCGGTTGTAAGAGTTGTGCCAGGTACACGTGTATGTACAACAACTGCGGGGGGGGGGGGGGGGGCAGGGAGAAAACCCAATTGGGACAGGGTGTATGTTGATGTATAGTATTACCGATCGTGCCCGGTGGTGTTTGGAATGGCTGCTTTGCAACGCTATATCTGCAGCACAGTCACTTGTTTTACAGGGTCTGAGCTGCACACACTCACCTCTACCTGTAGTCACTAGTTTAGTTCCGTGTTCTTCTTTCCAGACTGGGAGACGATTGTTTTGTCTTTTCCATTTCCTGTTTTGTTACCCCTGACAATGCATGTTGGTGACTTGTGCTGCTGCTGCTGTGACTGCTGTGACTGCTGGTGGTGGTGCTGGTGGTGGTGCTGGTGATGGTGCTGGTGATGGTGCTGGTGATGGTGCTGTGGCTGGTGGTGCTGGTGGTGCTAGTGGTGGGCTTTTCTTTCGTTTTAATTTCAGTCACTACATCAACTGTACTTAGTCTTGAAAATAAATAAATAAATTACTATCGAGTACTCGATAGGTCGCTTGATAGTTTTTCCCCATTGCCCAGTGTTCCCTGACTAACTGTCCTTGTGAAAGTTGAATGTGCTACTTGGTGACTAATGCTATTGGTGTGTCATGGTACTGTGCATGTGTTGACACCATGCTAACAACATTACATCAGACTATACCACAATTGAAGGAGACAACACTGGTATACTAGTAATATTTGATCAACCTCATTCACCCATCCTACAATGGGTGTAGAGTGTGTGGTGTGCCATGCCCCATGCTCACAAGTACAATGTGTGTAGAGTGTGTGGTGTGCAATGCCCCATGCTCACAAGTACAATGTGTGTAGAGTGTGTGGTGTGCCATGCCCCATGCTCACAAGTACAATGGGTGTAGAGTGTGTGGTGTGCCATGCCCCATGCTCACAAGTACAATGTGTGTAGAGTGTGTGGTGTGCCATGCCCCATGCTCACAAGTACAATGGGTGTAGAGTGTGTGGTGTGCCATGCCCCATGCTCACAAGTACAATGTGTGTAGAGTGTGTGGTGTGCCATGCCCATGCTCACAAGTACAATGTGTGTAGAGTGTGTGGTGTGCCATGCCCCATGCTCACAAGTACAATGTGTGTAGAGTGTGTGGTGTGCCATGCCCCATGCTCACAAGTATGGCGTAACTAACCTGTCACATCACATGACAAGCTTGATGGCTTATCTGATGACAGAAGTTCGGCGGCAAAGCTCGTTGTGCAGCAGAAATCGGGGTGTTGAGCTGCCGGGACAAGCAAGGCATGTCTCTGACATACACTGCATGCATTTTGTACCCGGTTTTCTTGTTTGGATTTTTGTTTCTTTCAGAAAGTCTCTTTCTGGCGCACAGTCGGTGTTTTAGATTTGGGAATTCTGTCTTGGAGGTAGCCTAACTGTTTCATCAGCCATGTCCAGACCAGAGTGTGGATCATGCAGAAGTAGTAGTAAGCATGGCAAACTGTTGAAGTGTCTGCACGCATTGTGTGTGGAGTGTTTGGAAAACTACATCAGTGGCAAGGGCTCTGTGGGTTGTCCTGAATGTGGAACAACCACTCCACCACCACCACTGGCTGGTGTTCCCTTGCTGCAGTACCTGCCAGACAGTGAAGTTTCCAGTGATGGGAATGAGGCTACTGCTGGCACACAGTCCAGAAAGCTGTGTGATGAATGTGCATTGGATACTAGAGCAGTGGCTGTTTGTATGGACTGTGGTGAGAGTCTCTGTGCCATGCATGCCGAAGCACATCCTGCATCTCGCCGCACTTACAAACACAAGGTTGTGCCACTCAGTGAGGCTGCGGGTCATACAGGTGATAGCACATCAGCCAGCCAGCACAAATGCTCATTCCACGCCTCGTCTGTACAGTGTTCGTATTGCTTAAGTTGTGAGCAGCTTGTGTGTAAGCAATGTGTTAGCAGTGGTGATCATGCTGCTCACAATGTGCAGACTATCACTGATGCATCTTCTAACATTCGTCAGTCCTTGAAAGCCAAGCTGACTAGCACATCACTTGGAAGTGGCAGTGTTTTTGACGAGTCAATCAAGAAGTGTGAAGCAGCACTGAGTGGACTCCGTGATGAAAGGGAAATGGTGTCCTCCCGGATCAACGACGTTTTTGGTGGGCTAAAGAAAGCCATTGAAAACCGTCAGCAGGAGCTTCTGGATGAGGTAGATCGATTGCAGTTGTCACATCTTCTTCCCCTTGAGGAGCAGAACCGACAGGTAATTGCTGGTGCCTCGTATAGCAAGAAAATTCAACACCTGGCAGAGAACTGCAATGAGGATGTGAATTTCTTGAAGATGAGTGGATGGCTGGAGGAAGCAGCGAAGAATGCTGTGAGTGTGTCCGAGAGAGACGTGAAGGGGTTTGCTCCAGGAACTCTATTGTTTTCGCCATGCCACTTCGAGGAGCTGACTGCGGCCATTGCCAGAACTGGTGTGGTGAGTGACATTGGTATGCTGTCATCGGAGAAGAGTAGCATGACTGCAGCCAGTGTTGAGGAGGGAGGGGACCTTACCGTGATCATTGAGCCAAGGAATGGCCACGGTGATAGTCTGGCTGTGACGGAGGCACATTTGTCTGGTGTTCACGTTGAACTAACATCTGCGGACAACACCACCGACACCATTCAGCCTGTGCTGATGCCCAACAGTAGTCCTAATGAAGGCACTAACATGATTGCAACGTACAAGACGACCGGAAAGAAGGGTTCAGTGCAGGTATCAGCCATGATTGGAGATCACCATGTAGCTGGAAGTCCTGCAACGGTTACCATCTTGGATCCTCTTCAGTTTGATCCCAGCCAATGTCATGCTGATCTTGTACTGTCAAACAACAACCGAACGGCTACTCGTGGAGCTGCTTCCAGCGGCAGTATCTTTAGGTCAGTATGTGGCATGAGAAAATGGAGTAGAGGCAAACACGAGATATCCCTTCGTCTTGATCACATCGGTGCTAGTGGCCTTCAGCACCTGTTTTTCTTGTGTAATGCCCAACGTCCACTATTAGACGACTGGCAAAGCGGAAAGGCCACATCGTTTGGATGGTTCAGCGACACCACCACTGATAACTTTACTACTGGCAGTGCACTAGGTCAGCCATGGAGAGCCGGTGACGTCATTCGCATGTCGTTGGATTGTGACAATCACACGTTAGTCGGTCGTCATGAGCGTACCGGAGCAACCGAGACACTGACGAACGTGACAGGCGAACTCTACCTCTACATCAGCCTGTTTTACAGTGGAGACCAAGTTACTATTTTGTGAACTTGGAAACACCGTGTAAGATCTTAGAGTGTAGATTTATTTCCAGAAGTTCTTACTATTGACTTTCTTGTTTGCATTAAGTTTGGATCCTAACTGTACTATACGCATATAATATATGTACTTGTTTCTGATAGCCTGATATGGTGTATTTCTCCCTTTCGTCTCAGGTAGTGGAACTGGTATTCCCAGTCCTTGCTCTTTGTCTACTCTTGTATGTACTCTGGTGCCTGCACCATGACAAACAGGTTTTTGTTCTTTTATCAACTTTTTACCACGTGCACTGCTGTCACATGTGTTTGCGCTGCTGCCATTTGCTTGCACGGCTGTCATTTGCTTGCACTGTTTTGCCCAAGATTTGGATATTGTACACTGGAGGTTTTCAGTGGCCACCTAGCATTGTGTTGTGTGCGCATGAAACCCATTGCGTTTGTGTAGTAACGTTAGGCGGCAGTGTGTTGTTTTAGCTTTTTTTTTTTTTAATGTTAACTATTGCAGCCTCGTTAGGTTCAGTTCTACAGCACTGTTCTGCAGCCTCGTGTTATGTTCAGTTCTACTGGACTATTCTGCAGCCTCGTGTTATGTTCAGTTCTACTGGACTGTTCTGCAGCCTCGTGTTATGTTCAGTTCTACTGGACTATTCTGCAGCCTCGTGTTATGTTCAGTTCTACTGCACTGTTCTGCTGACTGTGTTATGTTCAGTTCTACTGCACTGTTCTGCAGCCTCGTGTTATGTTCAGTTCTACTGCACTGTTCTGCAGCCTCGTGTTATGTTCAGTTCTACTAGACTGTTCTGCAGCCTCGTGTTATGTTCAGTTTTACTGGACTGTTCTGCAGCCTCGTGTTATGTTCAGTTCTACTGCACTGTTCTGCAGCCTCGTGTTATGTTCAGTTCTACTGGACTGTTCTGCAGCCTCGTGTTATGTTCAGTTCTACTGCACTGTTCTGCAGCCTCGTGTTATGTTCAGTTCTACTGGACTGTTCTGCAGCCTCGTGTTATGTTCAGTTCTACTGGACTGTTCTGCAGCCTCGTGTTATGTTCAGTTCTACTGGACTGTTCTGCAGCCTTGTGTTATGTTCAGTTCTACTAGACTGTTCTGCAGCCTCGTGTTATGTTCAGTTCTACTTCACTGTTCTGCAGCCTCGTGTTATGTTCAGTTCTACTTCACTGTTCTGCTGACTGTGTTATGTTCAGTTCTACTTCACTGTTCTGCAGCCTCGTGTTATGTTCAGTTCTACTGCACTGTTCTGCTGACTGTGTTATGTTCAGTTCTACTGCACTGTTCTGATGACTGTGTTCTGATGATGTCACTACATGACTGTACTACTTCAATTGCATTCTGCTTTTTCAGCATGTATAGCACAAAGACTGTTATGACAGTAATGTACCTGTGATCTGCTCTCTTATGCATAATGTCAGCGTCGTTGCATCTTGCTTTGGGACCAGCACACGTTCTGAACTATTTCCACTAAGTTTTTACGTCCTTGTGATCAGTGAGTCCCAGTGTCTGCTCCAGAGCCGGGTCAGCTGGGTCAGCGACTCGGTTGGGGAGCACTTGGACCCGTTTGGTAAAAGAACACCGGATCAATTGTGACCCGGGTGGGAATACATAACATCATGGAGTGCTAAAATATTTATGGCTCCCTAATGTACATGCTCGTGGCCTGGCATGAGTAAAACATGGATGTGGCAAGTGGGATTTTGGCCTATGGTTGGTGGATCTGATCTATCCTCCCCCACCGTTTAGGAGCCGCATTTGACGCCTGATCATGGGGTGGTGGCGTCCCACGGAAGCTGAAAAGTGGTTCTTGACCAGGGAGTTGCACGACTCCTTGTTCTTGACCTGCCCGGTACGCGAACCCGTCGAATTTAAAAAAAATGTACATGCAATAGCCACACTCGAATATAGCCGGATCTGACCCGGTTGTAAGAGTTGTGCCAGGTACACGTGTATGTACAACAACTGCGGGGGGGGGGGGGGGGGGGGGGGCAGGGAGAAAACCCAATTGGGACAGGGTGTATGTTGATGTATAGTATTACCGATCGTGCCCGGTGGTGTTTGGAATGGCTGCTTTGCAACGCTATATCTGCAGCACAGCCACTTGTTTTACAGGGTCTGAGCTGCACACACTCACCACTACCTGTAGTCACTAGTTTAGTTCCGTTTTCTTCTTTCCAGACTGGGAGACGATTGTTTTGTCTTTTCCATCTCCTGTTTTGTTACTGCTGACACTGCATGTTGGTGACTTGTGCTGCTGCTGCTGCTGCTGCTGTGACTGCTGTGATGGTGCTGGTGGTGGTGGTGGTGGTGGTGCTGGTGGTGCTAGTGGTGGGCTTTTTTTTCGTTTTAATTTCAGTCACTACATGAACTGTACTTAGTCTTGAAAATAAATAAATAAATTATTATCGAGTACTCGATAGGTCGCTTGATAGTTTTTCCCCATTGCCCAGTGTTCCCTGACTAACTGTCCTTGTGAAGGTTGAATGTGCTACCTGGTGACTAATGCTATTGGTGTGGCATGGTACTGTGCATGTGTTGACACCATGCTAACAACAACACATACATGCATGCATGCATTACATTAGACTATACCCCAATTGAAGGAGACAACACTGGTATACTAGTAATATTTGATCAACCTCATTCACCCATCCTACAATGTGTGTAGAGTGTGTGGTGTGCCATGCCCCATGCTCACAAGTACAATGTGTGTAGAGTGTGTGGTGTGCCATGCCCCATGCTCACAAGTACAATGTGTGTAGAGTGTGTGGTGTGCCATGCCCCATGATCACAAGTACAATGTGTGTGGAGTGTGTAGTGTGCCATGCCCCATGCTCACAAGTACAATGTGTGTGGAGTGTGTAGTGTGCCATGCCCCATGCTCACAAGTACAATGTGTGTAGAGTGTGTAGTGTGCCATGCCCCATGATCACAAGTACAATGTGTGTGGAGTGTGTAGTGTGCCATGCCCCATGATCACAAGTACAATGTGTGTGGAGTGTGTAGTGTGCCATGCCCCATGATCACAAGTACAATGTGTGTGGAGTGTGTAGTGTGCCATGCCCCATGCTCACAAGTATGGCGCATCTAACCTGTCACATCACATGACAAGCTTGATGGCTTATCTGGTGACAGAAGTTCGGTGGCAAAGCTCCTTGTGCTGCAGAAATCGGGGTGTTGAGCTGTCTGTGGGACAAGCAAGGCATGTCTCTGACACACACTGCATGCATTTTGTACCCGGTTTTCCTGTTTGGATTTTTTGTTTCTTTTAGAAAGTCTTTCTGGCGCACAGTCGGTGTTTTAGATTTGGGAATTTTGTCTTGGAGGTAGCCTAACTGTTTCATCAGCTATGTCCAGACCAGAGTGTGTATCATGTAGAAGTAGTAGTAAGCATGGCAAGCTGTTGAAGTGTCTACACGCATTGTGTGTAGAGTGTTTGGAAAAACACATCAGTGGCAAGGGCTCTGTGGGTTGTCCTGAATGTGGAACAACCACTCCACCACCACCACTGGCTGGTGTGCCCTTGCTGCAGTACCTGCCAAATAGTGATGTTTCCAGTGATGGGAATGAGGCTACTGCTGGCACACAGTCCAGAAAGCTGTGTGATGAATGTGCTGAGGATACAGCAGCAGTGGCTGTTTGTATGGACTGTGGTGATAGTCTCTGTGCCATGCATGCCGAAGCACATCCTGCATCTCGCCGGACTTACAAACACAAGGTTGTGCCACTCAGTGAGGCCGTGGAACATACAGGTGATAGAACATCAGCCAGCCAGTACAAATGCTCATTCCACCCCTCGTTTGTACAGTGTTCGTATTGCTTGAGTTGTGAGCAGCTAGTGTGTAAGCAATGTGTAAGCAGTGGGGATCATGCTGCTCACAATGTGCAGACTATCACTGATGCATCCTCCAGCATTCGCCAGTCCTTGAAAGCCAAGCTGAATAGCACATCACATGGAAGTGGCAGTGTTTTTGACGAGTCGATCAAGAAGTCTGAAGCGGCACTGAGTGGACTCCGTGATGAGACAGAAACTGTGTCCTCCTGTATCAACGACGTTTTTGGTGGTCTGAAGAAAGCCATTGAAAACCGTCAGCAGGAGCTTCTGGATGAGGTGGATCGATTGCAGTTGTCACATCTTCTTCCCCTTGAAGAGCAGAAGCGACAGATACTTGCTGGTGCCTCATATAGCAAGAAAGTTCAACATCTGGCAGAGAACTGCAATGAGGATGTGAATTTCTTGAAGATGAGTAGATGGCTGGAGGAAGCAGCGAAGAATGCTGTGATTGCGTCCGAGAGAGATGTGAAGGGGTTTGCTCCAGGAACTCTATTGTTTTCACCACACCACGTAGAGGAACTGACTGCGGCCATTGCCAGAACTGGTGTGGTGAGTGACATTGGTATGCTGTCATCGGAGAAGAGTAGCATGACTACTGCAGCCCGTGTTGAGGAGGGAGACGACCTTACCGTGATCATTGAGCCAAGGAATGGCCACGGTGATAGTCTGGCTGTGACGGAGGCACATTTGTCTGGTGTTCACGTTGAAGTAACATCTACGGACAACACCACCGACACCATTCAGCCTGTGCTGATGCCCGACAGTAGTCCAAATGAAGGCACTAACATGATTGCAACGTACAAGACGACCGGAAAGATTGGTTCAGTGCAGGTATCAGCCATGATTGGAGATCACCATGTAGCTGGAAGTCCTGCAATGGTTACCATCGTGGATCTGCTACCACAGTTTGATCCCGGCCAATGCCATGCTGATCTTGCACTGTCAAACAACAACCGAACGGTTACTCGTGGAGCTGCTGCTAGCGGTAACTGGAGGTCAGTATGTGGCGTGAGGAAATGGAGTAGCGGCAAACACGAGATATCCCTCCGTCTTGATCGCATCACTGCTGGTGACGTTCACCACCTGTTCTTCTTGTGTAATGCCCAGCGTCCACGACTAGACGACTGGCAAACGGGAGAGACCACATTGTTTGGATGGTACAGCAACAACACCGATTGTGGTAACTGGACAGGCAGTGCACTGGGTCAGCCATGGCAAGCCGGTGACATCATTCATATGTCGTTGGATTGTGACAATCACACGTTAGTCGGTCGTCATGAGCGTACCGGAGCAACCGAGACACTGACGAACGTGACAGGCGAACTCTACCTCTACATCAGCCTGTTTTACAGTGGAGACCAAGTTACTATTTTGTGAACTGGTATCATCGTGCACGATCCTAGAATGTAGAATTAGTTTGAGTTCTCACAAGTTCCGACTCTTTTGTTTGTATTACATTTTGTATCCAAAGTGACTCTTAACCAGCCCTACATGTACATGTACTTAATTCTGATAAACTTATAACCTATAGAATTATTATGGCGTAATTTTCCCTTCTCTCTCAGGCAGTGGAACTGGTATTCCCAGCCCTTGCTCTTTGTCTACTCTTGTATGTACTCTGGTGCCTGGACCATGACAAACAGGTTTTGTTCTTTTATCAACTTTTTAGCACGTGCACTGCTACCACATGTGTTTGCGCTGCTGCCATTTGCTTGCACAGCTGTCATTTGCTTGCATTGCTTTGCCCAAGATTTGGATATTGTACACTGGAGGTTTTCAGTGGCCACCTAGCAATGTGTTGTGTGCGCATGAAACCCATTGCGTTTGTGTAGTAACGTTAGGCGGCAGTGTGTTGTTTTAGCTTCTTTCTTTTTTTTAATGTTAACTACTGCAGCCTCGTTAGGTTCAGTTCTACAGCACTGTTCTGCAGCCTCGTGTTCTGTTCAGTTCTACTGGACTGTTCTGCAGCCTCGTGTTATGTTCAGTTCTACTGCACTGTTCTGCAGCCTCCTGTTATGTTCAGTTCTACTGGACTGTTCTGCAGCCTCGTGTTATGTTCAGTTCTACTGGACTGTTCTGCAGCCTCGTGTTATGTTCAGTTCTACTGGACTGTTCTGCAGCCTCGTGTTATGTTCAGTTCTACTGCACTGTTCTGCAGCCTCGTGTTATGTTCAGTTCTACTGGACTGTTCTGCAGCCTCGTGTTATGTTCAGTTCTACTGGACTGTTCTGCAGCCTCGTGTTATGTTCAGTTCTACTGCACTGTTCTGCAGCCTCCTGTTATGTTCAGTTCTACTGGACTGTTCTGCAGCCTCGTGTTATGTTCAGTTCTACTGCACTGTTCTGCAGCCTCGTGTTATGTTCAGTTCTACTGCACTGTTCTGCAGCCTCGTGTTATGTTCAGTTCTACTGCACTGTTCTGCAGCCTCGTGTTATGTTCAGTTCTACAGCACTGTTCTGCAGCCTCGTGTTATGTTCAGTTCTACTGCACTGTTCTGCAGCCTCGTGTTATGTTCAGTTCTACTGCACTGTTCTGCAGCCTCGTGTTATGTTCAGTTCTACTGCACTGTTCTGCAGCCTCGTGTTATGTTCAGTTCTACTGCACTGTTCTGCAGCCTCGTGTTATGTTCAGTTCTACTGCACTGTTCTGCAGCCTCGTGTTATGTTCAGTTCTACTGCACTGTTCTGCAGCCTCGTGTTATGTTCAGTTCTACAGCACTGTTCTGCAGCCTCGTGTTATGTTCAGTTCTACTGCACTGTTCTGCAGCCTCGTGTTATGTTCAGTTCTACTGCACTGTTCTGCAGCCTCGTGTTATGTTCAGTTCTACTGCACTGTTCTGCAGCCTCGTGTTATGTTCAGTTCTACTGCACTGTTCTGCAGCCTCGTGTTATGTTCAGTTCTACTGAGAAAACCCAATTGGGTGTATGTTGATGTATAGTATTACCGATCGTGCCCGGTGGTGTTTGGAATGGCTGCTTTGCAACGCTATATCTGCAGCACAGCCATCTCCTGTTTTTGTTATTGCTGACACTGTGGGTTGGTGACTTGTGCTGCTGGTGCTGTTTCTGTGGCTGCTGTGACTGCTGATGTTGCTATGGCTGCTGCTGCTGTGGCTGCTGTGGTGGTGGTGGTGCTGCTGCTGCTGCTGCTGTGGCTGTGGCTGCGTGTGCTGTGGCTGCGTGTGCTTTTGGCTTGTGCTGCTTGTGCTGGTGGTGCTGCTGGTGCTGCTGGTGCTGGTATGTGTGCGGACTGTCTTGGCTCCTACAGTGTACAGTCGTGAGCTGAATCGATGCCTTTCCGGCCACACTTGCATACCTCAACTCGTTGACATGGAGTCAGACCTCTGTCCCACTAGACACAGCAGGCAGTACTCTCCTGTTGCCAGGACAACACCAAAGAAGCACAATGACCAGGACTATGTCAGCAAGGTATGTTGCAGAAAAACTGCAACTTGGGATATTATGTTGGTGACCCTTGGGAGCGATTTTAGCAAATGGATCGGTTTCGCTTACGGTTTTAAAAGATTCCGAATGTTCTATGCCATGTGTTTAGGGCTGCAACGGGTAGGGGTTTGGTCGGGTAACAGGTCCGGGTATTTTTTCCGGGTGGTACAAGTACCCTATCGGGTATTTTTTTGACACAGTTTGTACTGTGAGCGTGCACTTGCGCTGCATAGAAAGTGCACAGTAGCACTAAGCCATGCTGTTTACATGCACCATTGCAAAAACACCGTACCCCAACTACCCTATCGGGTTCTCAGGAGCAAATTCCTACTCCACTACCCGATCAAATTACGGGTAGCACGGGTACCCTACTACTCGTTGACACCCCTCCATGTGTTCACACACTGTGAATAAAATTCTTCAATCTCTTCACAAGCATCTGAATGAAATCACCTTGAATATATTCATTGGTGAAATTCACTGGTTTACAGCGGGGAAATACCGGAGAATGTTGTGGGAATTGCGGATAAAAACTGTTGCGCAACGTTCTGTTGTACACTTTCAGTGCCAGCGGGATCCAGGCAGGCATACTCTGTGTGCTGTTGTACGCTTTCAGTGCCAAAGGGATCCAGGCAGGCATACTTTGTGTCCTGGTTGCTAATCCACAGAGAACAACTCTAGCCAGATGGTATGGGTGAACAACATCAACTGAAGTAATTAGTTGGTACATATGCCGTGTGTGTGTGTGTGTGTGGTGGTGGGGGTGTATGTGTGTGTGTGTGTGGGGGGGGGGGGGGGGGGGGGGTGTATGTGTGTGTGTGGGGGGGGGGGGGATATGTGTGTGTGTGTGGGGGGGGGGGGGGGGGGCCCGGGGGGGAGGGTTGATATCCATTCTATAGGCATGCTGCTGAGGATTCAGCTACTATTCAGCTACTCCGCTAGAGGTCAACCCGTAGTTGATTGCCAAAGCAAACGTGTGTGTTTGTGTCTGTGTTTGTGTCTGTGCACACATGTGTGCACGCATGTGCGTCTGTGTGTCTGTCTCTGTGCATGCATGCATCTGTTTTTCCTTTACAGGCATTCTTCATTTACTTTCTGCTGGACCCGCGGCTGTCTTGTAACCTGCCGCTACGGTCTGCGGCCGATTCTCTTTCCGAGGTGGAGAGCTTGCAACAGTTTCTCAAGAGCGTGTTTTACATTGGCAAGGGCAAGCGCAGCCGTCCGTTTGCACACTTGCATGATGCTGCCAAATATAGCAGCAGTAGCAGCAATAACCATGCCAACCACCATAATGGCCGTCGCCAAGGGGAGAACGGCGCGCGGAACGTAAGCAAACACACATGTTTAGCGTAGACCGTGGAGCGGAAGCTGCTTGTTCAGTCAGTTTTCACTCTAATCTGTCAAGCAAGCGTGGTGGCAGCCATCAGCTCATATTTGAGTCCCTTTCGCAGAGTTCACACAATGTAGGCGTGTGTCGTTCACGTATGCCCTGCCAAACCTTTTGTTTGGATCGGCCCTACTTCTAATAAATCATGCTCGGCCACTTCACATCTGTGGGCAATGCTCATCAGCAATTGTCCACCGTACAGGACCTTTACTTGGATGGGTGTGAGTGTGAGCGTGAGTGCGAGTTCATGTGTATACTGTGTCTTGGGCCAGCTCACTCCAGGAAATGGAGCTACAGAGACAAGAAACAGAGTGTGCACACACGCGAGCGCACCTGAATGTGCACAGAAAGACAGAAACGAAGTCTGTGTTGAAATGCGGCTTGTACAGACTAGGTGTTTCGTGCAAGACCAGGCCATAGTGTCAGGATTACTTTCTGCCTTGCCATGCACAGCATATAGCATTACAGTCCATTCATTGGAAACTGGCACCCTACCTTTTTGGTGTCTCTGTCACATAGTTGTAGATATCGTGAAAACAACAGTACATCCTGCATTGTGTGACCCATGCAATTACTCCTTGCCACATTTGAGGCCAGAAAAGTCCAAGAACAGGGAAATAGAAATTCGGCCAGGTTTTACAAAATTAGGACAGGTATGCCATGGCAAAATGTATGGAGAAGCAGATCCAAAACCCATATTTTTGAGATTTAAAGTGGGTTTTTGATCCTCAATTCGGCCCAAATCCGACTTTCAAAAGCCAGCGGGCCAGTTTCCGATGAATGGACTGTAGAGGCTTGCATCATATTCCGGCTTTTTCAGCAGTGCACTGTCTGGCTGCATCGAACCTCGCTCAATGAGTGGCTGTGCTTCAATGTGTTTGTGCATCACTGTGCACCATTGCGTGTGTGTGTGCGTGTGTGTGCGTGTGCGTGCGTGTGTGTGCGTGTGTGCACGCGAGCTTGCATGTGTGGGCATGTGTCTGTGTGTGTGTACATAATTAATGTACGTACATGTGTGTGCATGCGTTCTAACATGCCTATCCCCAGGCCGGCGCTGGTCATCACCCCAAGCTGGATAAAATCAATGAGATCTGGACGAGTGGCCTTGGCGTGGTTCAGTTCAGCTGCTTCCAGGGCTGTACCACTGAAGAAGCACACAACAGAGAGGCGTGCTGCTTGGATGCCGTTGGTAAGTCTATGTACACCCATACCTCGGTTATCCGGACCGCGAAGTTACGGCCACTTCGGTCTACCGGGCACCCTCCGGGCAAGCTTTAGTGGAAATATTACTACTCTTTTGTCACTTTTCGTGGAAATGGTGACGTCATGTGCCATATGTATGGCCTTTCCGCATCTGTTAAAATGTATGTGATTCGGAGTTACAGACATTTCGGAGTTACAGGCAGTGCCTGTTAAAGGGGAAGTGCATCGATTTTTCAAGTAGGGCTCAGATGAAAGACAATTGGATATCGGTTCCGATGGTATATCTCTCGCTTGCGTACGGCAAGGGAAACTTGCCATATCGCCGATTTCTTGATCCCGTTTCCATGGCGACTACAGGTGATGACGCACATTCTGCTTAGCTCCGTGAGAGAGAAGGTCGATCGCTGAAGAATTGTGTCATTTTCAGTTATCTTCTTGTATTCACGAAGTGAAAGAAGTACTGTGTTCAAGGCTGTTAGTGCCGTGAACTGTTTATTAGTAGTCCTCTCCGTTGTGTACTGGGACGTGACACCGACAGGGGAAAGCTGGAGTGCGGAGACGTTAGCTGGCAAGCGAAAATCGTGGCGAACCAAGTGCTGAAATCTTGGTTGGGACAAATCAAACGTTCAGCATTTGCCTCAACCAAGGACCATGCCGTTTGCTCTTTCCACTTCCTGAAGATGGATGCGCTGCCTGCTGGGGACTCTCCTATCTCTCGTAACATCTTCTGAAGCCAGGTGAGACGACGAGTAGCGGAGATTAGCGAACGAAATAATGTCGTATGTTTTGAAATTTTTGCTGAACATATCTCAGGAGAGATGGCATGTATGAACTTAGTCCATGTGAACTCAATCAGCCCATGAACTAACCCATGAACAAATGCTTTCCTTGCAGACGTGCATGTGTCTATCCAATCTACACGTAGAGATCATTCCATGCCCTCAGTGAATGGCCTATTTATATATAATTTGTCCATACACTTCATCTGCATGTTGTCTCTATGGAGAAGGGTATTGTTCATTTCATATGAAGAAGTTCGGGCAATAGATGCTTTCCTCTGGTAAAATTCTGTTGACCTGATGTTCTTTCTAGCTTCATGGGTAGCTTAGGTGAGGTACCATCACCATCGTGTTTACATGAGGGTCAAACACTGCACCGTTCTTTGTTGTGACATGACGCAAGTTATTGTCAGTGCTCGCAGACTCCATACGTTCCAGCAACACCTAGCATGGTTTTCCGTGAACGTTGTGGGTGAACAAATTCCTGTCCAACATATTTATACAGACATGCCAGCACACAAAATGCACCATACACACACTTGCCCTGCCCTGTCCAGTCACTGCCACGTGGGCCCGGAGGGGCAGTGGAGAAAGAATGGGAGAACGCTGCCCCATGGCGCCCGAGACACAAAAACAAGAGTTTGTCTACGTAGGGAGCAACACACATACATATACATACACCACACACACACACACACACACACACACACACACACACACACACACACACACACACACACGTGCGCACATACTGCAAGAAAGAAAGAGAGCAGGAGTGTCAGATTCTTGCATAGGAAGTGTTTATCAGCACACACTTATACATGCACATGCAGGCACTCAACGACCAACTATGCACCATGCCGTATGTTCGTCAACCATAAGATTGCAATACCAAAGAACAACATAAACAAAATCACTTACTTCGTTCTCCTCCAAGTGTGTCCTCCCCAGCCAGGCCATCTCCTGCATTTCCCTAGGCGGAATGTAGCCTACGAAATGGTTTCTCTAGACTTGGAGAAGATGCTTGGTTATTGCCATCTCTCCTGAGATATGTTCAGCAAAAATTTCAAAACACACGACATCATTTCGTTCGCTAATCTCCGCTACTCGTCGTCTCACCTGGCTTCAGAAGATGTTACGAGAGATAGGAGAGTCTCCAGCAGGCAGTGCATCCATCTTCAGGAAGTGGAAAGAGCAAACGGCATGGTCCTTGGTTGAGATAAATGCTGAACGTTTGATTTGTCCCAACCAAGATTTCAGCACTTGGTTCGTCACGATTTTAGCTTGCCAGCTAACGTCTCCGCACTCCAGCTTTCCCCTGTCGGTGTCACGTCCCAGTACACAACGGAGAGGACTACCAATAAACAGTTCACGGCACTAACCGCCTTGAACACAGTACTTCTTTCACTTCGTGAATACAGGAAGATAACTGAAAATGACACAATTCTTCAGTGATCGACCTTCTCTCTCACGGAGCTAAGCAGAATGTGCGTCATCACCTGTAGTCGCCATGGAAACGGGATCAGGAAATCGGCGATATGGCAAGTTTCCCTTGCCGTACGCAAGCGAGAGATATACCATCGGAACCGATATCCAATTGTCTTTCATCTGAGCCCTACTTGAAAAATCGATGCACTTCCCCTTTAACATCTTTGCCTCTGCATAGAAGATGCATAGGAATTTGTATGTGTATGTGCGTGTGTGTGTGTGTGTGTGCGCGTGTGCGTGTGTGTGTGTGTGTGTGTGTGCGTGTGTGCATGCGTGTGCGCATGTGTGTGTGTGTGTGGTCTGTGGCCGGTCACTGTCGAAGAGTGGTATGGCCCGACACAAGTGCAAAGAGGAGCGCAGCAAGCCGATCGCAGATCAGATTGGGAGCAGGAAATGCCCGGCGTGTAAGAGATGGTTCAGGAGCGCCGGAGGCCTCGCTGTCCATAAGTGTCGACCCGACGACGATCGTTCTACAGGCACAGTGGCGCACCCTTCTTTGTCTGCGCCCAACTCGGTTGCGGCAGTACCAGTGCCGGCGAGGACTCAGCTAACACTACCCTGCTACCAGGCTCATTGCAGCGCATGTGGCAGATGCTACCGATCAAAGAGGTGTTTCCAACTCCACAGCTGCGCAAAGTATACCCGAACTCTCGTTGGCCGCTAGCCTGCGGAGCGTGCTGCGTACCGTATTCAACGACCTACCCCATGTCTGTCGGCCCCTCGTATGAGGGGACATGTAACCGTTTTACGGCAATGTTCAGGACAGGACAGGTGTGTGTGTGTGTGTGTGTGTGTGTGTGTGTGTGTGTGTGTGTGTGTGTGTGTGTGTGTGTGTGTGTGTGCATGCGCGCATGCCAACCTGTCAAAAGTCTACCTTCTTGCCAAAGCATTTGGACGTTGGAAACGTTTCGGCTCCACCATTTAGCGTGTCGTTACTATTAATAGCTTTCACGGCTGAGGTTGTTGGTGTGTCTGTTGGCCCTGGGTTCCCAGTACTCAGTAGCCGAGGCTTGTTGGAAAAATAACTCCCATTTCACTTCAAGGTACTGGTGCATCTAGTGTCTGCTTTTATCAAAGCAGCGTGCTGTCTATACTGGTTACCCCAGCAAATGTAGGGTGTGCACCGGTAACTGTCTCGGCTATGCTATTCCGATGTGCTCCGTGTTGTGTAGACCAGGTGTACATTCGGGGTCGATTCACACACCGAGTGCATTTTCAGATTTGCGTGCTTCTCTTGCGACGGTCGTATACATGGTACATGTGTGCTTGCACGATCGCGCGCGCACGTGTGTGTGTGTGTGTGTGTGTGTGTGTGTGTGTGTGTGTGTGTGTGTGTGTGTGTGTGTGTTGCCAGGCCTTGTCAACCTGACCAACAAAGTGTCTGGAACCTATTACGGGGAGTTTGCCTCTAAGTCGGGAATGGAACGCCGCAAGATGGGTATCCATCTGCTGGCCAAGGCTTGCCGTATTTTCCTGCAAGAAGGAGAAAGACAGTACCGATCCAATGCGCCAGGTGAGGGAGAGAGAGAGAAAGAGAGAGAGTGTGTGTGTGTGTGTGTGTGTGTGTGTGTGTGAGAGAGAGAGAGAGAGAGAGAGAGAGAGAGAGAGAGAGAGAGAGAGAGAGAGAGAGCGAGAGAGAGAGAGAGGGGAAAGGGAGAGAGAGAGAGAGAGGAAAGGGAGATAGGGAGGATGAGAGACATAGAGAAACACTCTATTTATCTGTCAGCTAACAGGGACGATCAAGTGGTGCGGGGTCTGCAAATAGCCAAATACGCATTGGGCCTTGCAGCTGTGGATCATCTCGGTGAACCTTGGACATAAGCAACAGTTGGAAATACTGCAGACCATAGTGCACATGGAAAGCGTTGTAGTTTGCCGTAATCATCTAGTGCTCTGCAATGTGTCTCCGTGCATGTCTCCCTGTGTGTCACTTCACCGGTGTACACTTCATTTTGTTCTCTATTCTTTCTGTGCATTAGTGACATAAGCAGGAGAGGATGGGGCGAGTTCAGCTAGTTTTCTCCCCAGGACAGTTCGTAGAATGCCAATGTGCTGGCTTACAGTAGGTACTCCAAGTAGTTAGTGCCGTAGTATGCTGGCCCCAGCTCGGCATTCCGTGTGTGATGATGACCCACCACGTGCATGTACACAAAGCCACCAAGCCCAGCCTGGAGCAATCCATTGTCACACGTAGTGCCCGCCCTTCTGGCAACACTTGGCAGAAGGCCAGTTTGCTTGTGGACAGCTGTAATCTGTATGCAGTGTTCCGAGTGAGCATGGCAGTGTATAGCTGTGCAAACTGGCGCACACGGCCAGCGACGACAGTCGTTTGGCTTGTGATTTCTGCTTCCTCGTTGGCTACAAGGAGCTGATATAGACTGGGCCATGTTTTTTTATGGTTATGAATACCACGCGTGCAGCTTGCGTCTGGCTAATTGGCCCGTACATAAATTAGTTTGTGGTGCCTCGCCAAGTTTTTTTGTGTGGACATGAGCAACATGCGCGGGCAGCTTCTGTCTTGCCCCGTACAGGTACATAGTTTGTGGTGCCTCGCCATATTTTGTGGACATGAGCAACACGCACAGCCAGCTTCTACCCATGTGGCCCGTACATCGATCTTGTGCTACCTCGTCGCCTGTAGAAGAGTAGGAGTAGTCTTTGTTGATCTTGATAGCTACGCACTATCCACTAGTCTGAGCTGCAGAATACCACAACAGCACTGACTACACCACAGGCACAGGTCTGGGAATACCGCCAGTCATTCAATTTTAAAGTTGTAGTCTCAAATTGGACGATTTTCTAATGCTTGATTTACTCCTAACAATGCCTACTTCCTAACTTTGAAGTCGCAATGCGTTGCTCTTGATCAGCTCTTTATACAGTTCTCAAAGCGCACATGATGTTCTCTAAGCAGGCAGGAACTGCTGTCTCCTTTGTCTATCTTCTCCTAGGGTCTTTTCATTATTCTCTTTCAGTACGGTTTGTTCACCTCATCCCGTTTATATGAATGCCTCTTGTTACCTCAGCAGTACAACGTGCAACACAGCTACCCAGAGGGTGCTCCTAGCCTCTCTGGTCCAGTCTGGATACTAGTAGCTCTGACTGTGTGTGTGACAGGTCACTAGTGCAGCATTGGTTTGAGAGAGAGGAGAGAGAGAGAGAGAGAGAGAGAGAGAGAGAGAGAGAGAGAGAGAGAGAGAGAGAGAGAGAGAGAGAGAGAGAGAGAGAGAGAAAGAGAGAGAGAGAGAAAGAGAAAGAGAGAGAAAGAGAGAGAGAGAGAGAGAGAGAGAGAGAGAGAGAGAGAGAGGAGAGAGAGAGAGAGAGAGAGAGAGAGAGAGAGAGAGAGATGTGTGTGTGTCATGGTGGCTGATGCCGATGTTTCATATCCGTGCGTATGAAGTTTTACACACCATTGGACCATTGGACGCCCATCGCCAGAGGCGATGATAGCGATGCTACAGCAGAAGCCATAGCAGCTTGTGCTGGGATTGCACCATTCAACAGCTTGCAAGGCTGAAGAATTGACCACCACTATTCAGCCTGGTCTACACCACACAGCTATGAAGTGGCTTTTTCTGGCCAGTGAATCCCTACTTTTTGGTCTTTTAAAAAAAAAATTTTCCCGCACACACATCACACCACATACTCCGGCATGCACTGGCTGTTGGTAACCACCCAGGAGAATGAAAGAAAAGTCAGGAAGAGTCTGAGAAAGAGAAGAAAGACGTTACACACACGCACACACACACACACACACGCGTGCATGCACGGTGTGCATGAAGCAAGTCACAGTTTTTCTCATAATCGATTAGGTGTGCATGCGTATCAAAACAGAATAATAATACCCTGTGACCAGCACAGCGCAAGAGAGAGAGAAAAAATAACTATTACTTGGTACCATGGTGATCCTGTGTCAACACAATGGCGGCTGGGGTATTCTGGTCAAATATAAAACATTGATAGAATCAAGTGAAAGAAAACAAGCAGGCAGGCATCGCACTGCATGTTAGGTCCACATAGCAAGTAGAGAGCGTATGAGAAGGTGGCCAAGAGGGTAGGTCTACTAAGTACTTTAGTAGACATGCATGCCAATTAGGTAAAAAGGAGAGAGGGAGAGAAAGAGAGGGGGGGGGGGGGGGGGGAGGGAGGGAGAGTAGAGAGAGGGAGAGAGAGAGAGAGTAGAGACTGACGCCACAGCTCTGACTCTAGCCATCAGCAATTAGGATGTCAGCAATAACAGGGATAACACTGGTAGGTGGACATGCATAGCAATACAGAAGTGGCGGAGCCAGGAGCACGCTTGCAAGATAGAGTGATATAGCTGTGTTTCGGTTTTTTTTCCACATAACTGGCTCCGACCCCTAAGTATTTATCTCCGCTGAAATGTGAGTGCGTACAGTTCAAGGTTGCATGCACGCACGTGCGTGCGCGTTCACACACACGTACACACACACACACATCGTACACCCATCACAGCGGAGTGTGTCTAATACTGATGAGTATGCCATAAATACAGTGCCGTGCGTGTATCAATCAGATACAGTCACAAAGCAGTATAGTTATCTTTTCGAACACCGTGGATGGCAAAGTCGATGATAACACAAATCAATGTTGGACCTTGTGCACTTCGGTAGCCAGCTGGTACATCCACTTTTCAATAAGAGCAAGAACGCACATGTCTGCATGAGCACGCGTGCGAAAGAGAGAGAGGGAGAGAGCAAGCATTGCCCGCAACAAACGCGAGGGCACCAAAGTCGACGTTGTGTGTGTTTCAAGACGACTGGCCAGCGTAGCCATACACTGAGCGCACCACTTGATGCCTGCACTCCTTGTGTGCTATACGGCGCAGTACAGTGGCACCAGTACACTGGCTGGACTTCTCACAGCGACCGGAGCCTGTGTACCCAAGTGCTCATGGGTAGCAGCAAAGTATGACATCATCATGATGTAATCTCTGATATTTAGAGCACTTGGCACCTAGATAGGCAAGTGAATAGGTGCACTGCACATGACAACACCATCAATGATTCGGCTTGTGCGGTCACGCAGACACTGACAGGTCACATGGTGTGCAGCGGGCCTATGACATCATCAGCATGACACCATCGTTGACTGAATGGTGTGCAGTTGCCTTACGGGAATGATGCGGTTCACACCTGGCAAAGGTGCCGTGGTGACAGTGACAGGAGACCAGCAAGCTTGCGCAAAGCAAGAGAGGCCGAGACGACGGTTCAGGATCATCATCACCATATGCCTACTGCATAACACAGCTGCTACCGGCTACAAAAAGAACACATGCACACACACACACACACACACACACACACACACACACACACACGTGAGCGCAAGCGTGCCCAAACAGTCAAACAGACACATAATCATGAGCACATGTATGCAGCCAGCATCAATTAGCAGATGGATGGGAGTCAACGCGTGTGTGTGTAGGAGAGGGAGAGAGAGAGAGAGAGAGAGAGAGAGAGAGAGAGAGAGAGAGAGAGAGAGAGAGAGAGAGAGAGAGAGAGAGAAATAGACAGTTAAAGAAAGAGAGAAAATATCCAACTCACGTGATGCTTTGCAGCTCTTCGCAGCCCTTGTGTCTAGAGAACTATCGGGCGAGGCCCCGTTGTCTGCTGTTGCAGCAATACTACTACTACTACTACTGCTAGCAGCAGAAGCAGCAGACACATCTACTTTGTGATGGTCCTCTGCACCACTGGTCTGGAAACACACGCAGGAAAATGTACAAGTACATCAATGTTTCTAATCACTATCCAATAAGCTGAGCGTGTGTGTGCGTGCGTGCGTGCGTGTGTGTGTGTGTGTGTGTGCAAGGGAAAGAGAGAGAGAGAGAGAGAGAGAGAGAGAGAGAGAGAGAGAGGGAGGGGGGAGGGAGAGAGAGAGAGAGAGAGAGAGAGAGAGAGGGAGGGAGGGAGGGAGAGAGAGAGAGATCGTTAGAAAAGAGACACCAGCGCCAGCAGTCAGAACGTAAACAGTGTTGACAATCACCAGGTCCATCACGTCAGCTTACTAAGCTCACCACCAGCAGCACTAGCAGTATGAGCAAGAGTACATACCCCCCCCCCCCCCCCCCCCAGAGTGTGCAATGCCTGATCCAGCTCTGCATAGGGTCTTGGTCGAGCGTAATCGGACCTTTGCGTCATAATACCGTACACATCTGAGGGGCACCCGGGGAGTCGCGGGGATGCTCTGATCAAAAATAACGGTACCCTGCCTCGAGACCGACCTTGCGCTGGTGTGGAGTGTATGCATGACATCAGAAGATCCGACTACGCTCGACCAAGACCCTATGCAGAGCTGGATCAGGCGTTGCACACTCTGGGTGGTTATGTACTCTTGGTGTGACAGACCTCCAGAAACTACCGGAAACGAAGCTATTCAACAGTCAGTGAAAGCATGCTGTCAGCGTGTTTACCAGAACATTACAACAGCACTTAGTCACTGACCCGTGAGGACGCAGAGGACACACGCGATGTGGTCGGTGTGGACATGGAAATGGTGGTGGCGTCGGTCGGGGCAAGAGCAGCTGCAGACGATATTATAGCCTTGATCTCCTCTGCGCGTTTCAGCATCCCATTGACCTGAGCAGTGAACACACCATGGGCAAACATGCACGAGAATTTAGAAGGAGAATTTGACAAGAATTCCGGTAGCATTGATATGAAAACGCACACAAGTACTACATGTACATGTAATCTAATTGTTGCCTGTTTCAGTGCGCATGGCGATGGCTGTACTCTGGTAGCCTGCCTACTCAGCCTCGGCCAGTGTCTACAGGTGTCAGTTCCCAGGATGATAGCCAGGGCAAGGAGACAAGCACTACAGGCAACAGTAGAGAGGTTAAGATGCACGTTATTTCCGACGTGACGCGCAATTTCACGTCAAATTTGGCGTAAAACTCCAAATTTCGACGTGAGCAGCAGGTCACTCGCGTTGATTTTTCGACGTGCGAGCCAAATAACGCGAGCTGAACTTTCGCGTCACGTCAGAAATAACGTGCATCTTAACCTCTCTAATGTATACATGTAGGTCTATCCTAGATAGTAGACAACCTTGCCGAGGGGGGTTCAAAATTTGTTGTCGTGTAACGAGTACTATCTACTACTAGTATCCGGACTTGCATGTACGTGTGTTGTAGTACGTTATTTTGTGTACGTCGCGTGTACGTCATGTTGGTGCATGCGCGTGTTGCTGTGGTGGGAAAAGCTGTCTTCGTCTTGAGTTCATCATGTCTTCGTCTTGAGTTCGTCATGTCTAGTTGTGTTTCTTCGTCGTGTCAATAAACAGTCTTCTAAATGTAGTTATCGTCGTCCCTTTGTATAAGTGTGGAGATGGCACGGGACTGGGAGCAGGTAGAGAAAAGCGAGTTACAACACGTGTTTCAGGGGGTCAGGGGATTTTTGTATCATTGTCTAAATGTACTAATGAGGTTTGTCTTGTAACCTATGTTGTACTATTATAAACGAGGGTAGACATGTATGAGGACTACTTGGCGGTGGTCCCGCCATGATTGGTTCACTAAGGCAAGTGTCTGACTGTAATTTCCTCCATAAAACAACAACAAGAGCTGTAGTAGCTTGCTCACGGCCGACTGAGTTCAAATCCCCAGTATATGTAGTGCATTCTACCATGGGCATCGACGTACTTCAGTCAGTAGCTTCTTTCGTTTTGAACCTTTCTCCATCTCTGCAGCAGCAGGCAGAAAAACACAAGATGCAGTGTATAAACAACAGAGTACAGGCTCACTTACACACTCAGAAACACACACACACACACACACACCCGTGCACATACACAAACACACACATTTCACGCGAGACTCATTATATCAAATAGACCGAGTTTTCAGCATCCGTAGGAACGCCACAACCCCTCAAGGATCAAGGCGCAGATGCAGCAACACAAGTACGGAGGTATTTAAAGTATTTGACAAACAAAGTCTGATGCTACTGACCTGTTCATCAGGCATGGGGCACACACTGGCACACTGAAGGTATGCAGTAAAGCCCAGCAGTAGAGCGTGCAGCAAAGCTATGCACTAACACACGGTGTAGCTAAAGTTCTGCAGCAAAGCTGTGCAATACAGCTGTACAGCATACTAGTAGCCATGCTGTGTGCTGCACGCCTTGCTTGCAGTGAAGACATGCAGCAAAGCTGTTCAATGTATGCACACAGCACTGAGCATAGCTATGCTGCGTGCATACATGTACAATGTAGCAGAATAGGGCCACATGGTAAGATGATCAATCTCCGGACAGCGAGCCGTTTCGATCTTGTGAGGCATCATCAGTGACACTCAGAGTGACCTGCTGAACTGATTACTAGTAGCAATGATGTTCGCTATTGTAGGGACATAACAGGGCATCAGCTTATTGAGATAAAGCATACAGTCACCTTTGCTTATAACGACACTCGGCGGCGGGGCATCAAAAAGGTGTCCTTATTCGCGAAGTGTCGTTATACCCGAAGTCTCATTACATGTATTACAGTGGGATGGGACTTTGCTCTGGGCATGGAAATTCTGTCGTTATTCGCGAATTGTCGTTATATCCGCAGTCGTTATTCGCGAAGTTGACTGTATATCAAAGTCCATACTGGTGAGTGCAGCAGGACTTACTCTGTAGAATGGATAGCAGTGTTGCCACTGAGTCAGTGTATAGACTGTACGCCTCTTCATAGTCTCCACGTGCATCCTACAGTAGAGACACCAACACCACCAACACCACATACAGACCAGACAACATTGTACACACACCATGGAGAGAGCTAGAGGCAGGGAGAGAGAGGGAGAGAGAGAGAGAGAGAGAGAGAGAGAGAGAGAGAGAGAGAGAGAGAGAGAGAGAGAGAGAGAGAGAGAGAGAGAGAGAGGAATAAAAGGTTCCTGTCCAAATACTCAGGAACTATTACATAGCTGGTAACATAGCAGTGCAATGCAAAGTGAAGGAATGCAGTAAATACACAGAACTCACCATGGCCTGAGCATTGTGAGCTTGCATCATGGCTATCAGCAGGTGGCTATCTCGACGTGCTTCCGCCTCTGAGAAACAAAACACACACACACACACACACACACACACACACACACACGTGCACACACACACACACACGAAACGCATGCACCCTCACATTAGAAGCTGCACCAGAACATGGAGCACCCATTTAAAACCAACATTCGTAGCACTCACTGTACATAAGATACAATACACACACAATGTCTGAGGTGTCCTTGCTGCAAGATAGTGCCCAATACCCTAACAAGGGCAGAGCGTACTACACAAGGCAGAACAACAGAGACCAAAAAAGGTTTCTCGTGACTCCGAGTTTCATGTTCAAAAACACTCATCAGGCGAAGATACAATACATGTACATGTACCATAGTGGGTCCAATGTTATCAGGCATTATGCCTGTTTTGATTTCCACTACTCAAAGTAAAAATAAACTGTACAACATCCAACAACAACAACCATACAGGCGGTGCACAACCAAAACCGTCTGAAATAGTACATGCTAAGAACTCTTCCCTACACTCAGCAAACACAATACATGTACACTGGATGCACGGCTATATTCCTTGTCTATCATCATGCAACCAACATACCGTCTTGAAGGCGGTCAACCTCGGCTGACAGCTCCAAGCTCTGCTTATCATGGCCGGCCATCTTTAGTGTGGACTTGAGCTGCTCCAGGCGGCACAGGTAGTCAGCCACCTTTCACACATAGACACACGCACACACACCGACACCATAAAATTTCGGTGTCAGGCACAGTGACAGGTTTGAGGTGTAATGTAGAATTAGGTGACCAGCTTTCCCTTCACATACAGTGCATACTCTAGTGCCTTTTAGGTGCTATCTACATTTATACATTTAGGTGCCTGTTTTTTTTTCTACCGAAACCACCGAAATTAAAGTTACACCGAAATGTACATGTTGTACAGTAGTTACAGGAACGCAACCCTACAATGTGTACACACGCTACTACAGTGCTACTTTGTGAAATCTGATTCCGTGAATCAAGTACACAACGGGTGCTGTGTAGTCCCAGACCTGCCAACACTGCCAACACTAGTATGTGAATCCAGGAAGGGGTGCAGACTTGACTCACGCCATCTGGTTTCAATGAGCAGCACTGTAGATTCCCCGAGGTCGGGTATCATTCAGCACCAGTGTACTCTGAGCACTGTACACTATGCCAGTACGTGCACAACAACACATGCCTGGTCTCCACAGGCGCGTAGCACCGCTGTTGGAGGTGGTCTGGTTGGATGTGGGGGGGGTCTGGGGTGTCCCCTGGGAAAAGTTTGAACTTAGGGTGCAAAATTCTGCATTCTGGGCACTTCTGGGCAAAAAAAGTGGTCCGGCGGGACTGGCTGCCACACCAAACACCCAATAGATGCATACCTTCAAGCGCAGGGCTCGGCAGCTTTCCGACACATCATTATCTGGCAGTAAACACACACATAGACAAACAGAACATTCAGACATTTAGCATAGAAACTCCAGCTACAGCCTACCCTAACAACCCTGAGCGGACATGCAATCAAGACTGATTACGACTCCAGCTGGCCATATGGGACCTTTATTCCAGGATCAGATCCTTCAGCGCAAATTCGCACATGGGCACACAGACACACAAGCACACACACACGTACCCACATACACACACTTGTACTTGTTGCTCACTGCCAAAACTGGTCACATGGGTCTCCCCGGGAGAGGGGAGAGAGACTCAAAAGGAATCTTGGAAAGATGACTCAATTGGCTATTGAACCACCCCACGGCCGACACCCCCTGACATCCCCAAAACTCTGGGTGGACTTAAAAAATGATCCCACTTATGGGCTCACCACACCTCAGTAAGTGGGTGAGGACAAGGTGCAGAAAAAGGATTGACGGCATCAGGGTATCCGTCCCGGGATCCAACTGCAGTTACCCCTGCCCCCAGTGAAGGTAATACTTGCTACTAGTGTGGGTGGCTAAATCAGAGTGGATCTGATATAAGCTTCACTAGCACCATTGATTACACAAGAGTTAATCTAGCCAGAAGCAGTCCATGGTTAACAGGTATGTATACTTCAAATAGAAAGTATATGAACCCTGGAACCAACAAAGGTGGCAGGTACAACATTACACCTTCAAGTAGCTGAGCCCGTTGGCAACAGACCCAACACAATCAGGCATAAGTCACACACGCACGCACGCACACACACAAACACACACAAACACACACACACACACACAAACACACATACACACAAACACACACACGTACACACACACACACACACATACAGACACAGACACACATACAGACACAGACACACACGTACACGCACGCACACACACACACACAAACACCCAATAGTAACCTACAGTCAACCAGTGGGATGAGGTAGTCCAAGGCCACACAGTACATGTGCACAGCTGCCGGGTACTCTCGTTGGCCGTCCAACCGCACGGCCAGCTCCGCATACTTGCAACCCTTACTGAGAGATGCCTCACCGGGGAGATGCTCCAGGTCAATGTACGGATCGGTAAAGAACTCCGGAAACGATATGCGCTTGCTAGGATCTCTCTGCAGCAGGCCGGTGAGAAGGTGGCGGCACTCGGGACTGAGGACTGGCTCACTGGGGATCTGCAGTTTGGAAGAGACGCAAACACAAATACATGTACTGCATTGAAACTTACACAACATTTGCACAGCAGCTGTCAATGGATTCGGCTTGAAACAACTGTACCTATGCAAGTTGCTCTGCTCTCTCTCTGGTCTCCTAGTAAAGAAAAGACATTGGGAAGAGATAGTCCCAGCTCCTCTTCCAGGGCAATATTCGTCTCAGCAAGTCGTAGTACTGTATAAGTACCGAAGGATGTACCCAGAGTGCAGCAAACAAGCCTTGATTGTCCTTGTTGTTCTGTTGTGTACTGCATAAGTACACATTTTTTGTTTACGAAATCTTTCGTTAGATCACTCCACCAGCAGGTTCGTTACGTACTAAACTTCGTTTTTGGTCGAGGTCTGTCACCCCGAACGTCCAGAAAAAGAAAACTTTAGTTTGGTACAAACTTTAGTTATTTCATGCCCCCCCCCCCCCCCCACGAATATAGCGAAAGTTAATTCCAAATGAAACTTTGTAGTCTGTACATATACAGTAGTAAGTAGTTGATGGATGGGTACCTAGGTTAGGTTCAGTGTAGCACTGTAGTTGATGGATGAGTACCAAGGTTCAATGTAGCACTGTAGACAATGCTACAGTTGATCATGAAATAACCTGAAGCTGGCAACATGTCACCTACCTCAATCTCATCGTGGCTAATGATCTTCTCGATCAGGGCGTCGTAAGAGTTGGAGGCGAACGGCGCACGTCCAAACAGGGTTTCTGCACAGCATCACACGGGAGCAGTATACACGAGTTGGATAAACAGATGAACGCAAGCGCGCGCGCGCACACACACACACACACACACGCATGCACAACCCCCTCCCCCAGACAAATTCTTCAATGGAGTGAACGGCCCTACAGGAGCTAATAAATCTAAGGCCAAGGCCTCTACAGGAGCTGATAAATCCAAGGCCAGGGTCATTTCCGTGACCAAGACGATGTCTGTAACCAAGGCCATGTCCTTGGCCAAGACCGTATTCGTGACCAACAATTGAAATGGGTGTAGGTGGCTGTCATGTTGCACCAACAAAAGCAGAATAAAAAAAATTAAAAATATGAACGAACTAAAGCAGGGGAGCAAGGTAGGGTGCAGCAGCTTCCCAAGGTAGTGCCTTCCTGCAGTGTAGTACCGTATTGATAGCAACTTACCATAAAGAATAACACCCACTGACCAGAGATCAGCCCTGGCATCGTACTGCTTTGCAACCACTATCTCTGGTGCCTGAATTCACACATAAGCAACAATGCACACACCACTGTTTACAGCTGAGACGGGATTCTCCTTTTCAAGTACGTGTACATACAAAAACAGCCAGACAGAGATATATGATTTTACAGAAGTCCAGCAATGACCATGATCATGTGCCTAGTATCTATAACTATGCGTCACCAACACTTGACTCACTGCCCATATTAGGTTCACAACTGGCTTTGCCTGCTTTGTGCTAGTTATCCAGCTACACAAGAGAGATTGGAAGCTGTGCCGCAACTCTGAGTTTCACGTATTAAAACAATAGGAAGACAGAGAAAGTGTTTTTACTCCGAGTTTCACGCACTAAGCGATCATCAGAAAACAGTAATGAGAAATCTGGATCAGTATTGGTTTATATACTCACAAAGCAAAGTGTGAATAGCTGCAGCATGGCGCAAATCTAAAAGTTGTGAATGGCGGCAGTGCAAAGCGTGAATGACTGCATCATGAGGCAAATCCAAAAGTAAAAGTGTGAATGACAGCAGTGGTGAAAGGTGACAACCACTGGAGCCGGTTGTCTCTTACTTAATTAGATGATGGCTGTGGATGGTTTGAAGTTCCGAAGGTAGTACTTATTCTCGTGGCGACACTTTGACACAAGCTCACTCCTTTTGTTGAGAGAGAGTTTCACGTATTACTACGATCATCAGGCAATAGTTATCTAGCTACAAATAGATGCCGCCAGTGTGTCAATAATTGTAACAACAGCTGAGTAACGTGCCATCACATACCATATACAGCGGTGAGCCTCTCAAGTGAGCGAAACCCTGGCTTTCATCCAGGTAGACAGCAAAGCCAAAGTCTGCGCACACACAGACACACAGACACACATACACACACACACACACACACACACACACACACACACACATACACACACACACACACATACACACGCAGCAGTGCTGCCATAATACGAGTTGACTAAAAGTATCCATACTGTTCATATTATCCATATTGTTCATATTATCCATACTGTTCATATTATCCATATTAAAGAACTCTTCCTCTCCTCTCTTCCATGCGCTCTCACAGCCGACTCACTGCTACCCTCGGTAGCCATTAGGAAGAGTTCTTTACATTTTATTGGCCGAATAGTACCGTTCACCATTTGAAATTATCCATATTGTTCATATTATTCATAGTTCCATACTATCAACTACTACTACTGTCGTGGACATGGAAATCCGGTCGAATGACCGGGGCCAGCGCCCTCAGTGCGTACAGAATGTAACTAGTCGTCGCATGCGATGAAGCGTCGAGCTGAACCCGCCAGACTGCTGTGAGGTGATGTCGTTCACACGTATGTGTACTCACGGCTGCAAGGCCAGCGCCCTCGGGTCGCTTGCCGCTTGGCCTCCGATTGGATTTCCATGTCCACGACAGTACATAAGCAAGAGTATGCAACTCCTATCTCGAGCTGTGATGGGTCCCCCCACCGACGGAATAGTTTATTGCGTCATTCTTTGGCAGAAGTATGATCAAGTGTGTCTGTTTTTCCGCCCTTGTTTTGTAGATACGGCGAGAGTTCATCGGGTTCAGGACACATCGATCTATCGTCCGTTGTTCCGCTTCGACTATAGTAGCTAAGATGTACAAATGTACAAATTCTTTGTACTTTGATCTCTGGCTACGCATGATGGCATCAGTGAGCCAAACAGCCGCCAAAGACTGATGTCATAAAAAAAAGTCCAGCCGTGGGCTGGGGGATCGTCGAGTTGCATACTCTTGGTTATAATTATGTACTCTTGATAACTATCCATATCACTGTAAAACCGGAAATTTTCAGTGGAGATTTATTTTCGGAAACTTCAGTAGCTAAAAGGTAATTTTCACCTCAAATAAAACGTGACCTAAAATTCAACAAGTGCCATGCCATACAGTGTGCAAAACGCATTTTCGGATCTGGAAAAACTCATTTACCGAAATTTTCGCACTACCGAACCGTTGATTTTTGGGAAATACCGAAAATATTAGACTGGCTTACCGGCAAGTTTTAATACGGGAGTTGTGGAGCCCGGGTGAGATGCAAGCAGAATGTTCTGCGGCTTCAAGTCCAGATGAGCTATGTTGTGCTGCTGCAATGCACAGATGGCAGATGCTGTATGCAAGCATGCACACAAACACACGCACACACACATACCATGTACACACACACACCATGCACACACACCATGTACACACACACACACCTCAGACCTCAGACATGCCCATCGCGGAAGCGATGATAGCGAACAGCTATGTTAGACATAGCAACTTGTGCTGGGATTACACCATTCAACAGCTTGCAAGGCTGATGAATTGACCGCCACATGCGCGCACACACACACACACACCATGCACACACAGGCTTGACATCCAGTACAGACGGGGAGGGGGGAGGTAGCAGCAGCAGAATGCCCAGTACAGCAGATACCGGCCAGTTTCACCAAAACATAGTTTATAAAGACAAGTCAATACTCAACGGATACAATCCCATTTCTCATTCAAATACGGTAGGTATAAAAGGAACACAACAGCCATGTCGGCAACAGGGTATAGGCTTGATACTAGACCTACACAATCATTAACACTAGATCCATGGAATAGGTTTGATATTAGGTCCATGGAATCATGGATACTAGACGCACGGAATCATTGATACCAGACCAACAGAATCAAAGATACTAAGCTAACGTTAGATCCATGGAGTCATTGATATGTTTGTAGTAAAGACAAACAGGTGATTTGAATCAGCACCAGAAGAGACAGAAAGAACAGGGAGTGTATCACCAGCAGGCACACAGACTCACCAAGCTGGCGGAGGAAGCGGCGTGCTACATTCTCCTGCAGTGCTTTCCTGGTCTTGATGAAGTGGGACAAGTCTCCACCGCTGCAGTATTCCATTATGATGTACACATAGCTGACATCCCACTGCAGTGGAAACAACAAAAACGATGACGACAACAACAACAACAACAACAACAACAACAACAACAACAACAACAACAACAACAACAACAACAACAACAACAACAACAACAACAACAACAACAACACAATGATGCTAATGATAACACTCATCACATCGGCAGCAGTAATATTCATAAAAATGTGAATGATAGCAGCAACAGCATCACCACCAACGCCGCCAGCAGCAGTAGCAGCAGCACCACGACCACCAGAAACACCATCACGAGTAGCACCACAAGTAGCTGCAACATCAGCACTACCACGACCACCATCACCGCCGCTACCACCACAACCACAACCAGTACTACGACTGTCACCGGCACCAACATCACTACTACTGTAGCAACAGTAGCAGCATTAGCAAAACCAACACTGGCAGCAGTACCAGCACTAGTACCACCACCAACACTAACACCAGCAACATCAGTAGTAGAAGCAGTACTGGGAGCACCGTCAGCAGCACCACCACCACCATCACCACAACCACCACATCGACGACCACCACCACCAACACAGCAGCAGCAGCACCATCCCAGCAGCAGCAGCACAACAGCAGCAGCAGCAGCAGCACCATCCCAGCAGCAGCAGCAGCAGTAGCTGAGCAGACCCTGAGAACAGAGAGGAAAGTCTAAGAGATTCTTCACCACATATTGGCTACATACTGTAAATATACAAATTTTCGGCAGCTATATAATTTCGGCTATATTCGGCACCGACCCAAAACGCCTAAATTAAAACGCCGATGAAATTTTTCACAGCATCTGTCGCACTATACCATGCCCTGTACCCCACGCCGAAAATAAATCGCCGCCGAATTGTCAAAAATCGTGAAGTGCCGAAATTTTGCAGCGCCGAAATTTTGTATATTTACAGTAGCTGCAGCCCAAGGACATGCATAATCGGGTGTGCTCGGGTCATAAACTAGTACATCGGTACCCCGTTAACCGACAGGAAGTGAAATCTCCGAAACACGTGTCTTTTCGCCTTCCAAAGAGGTGCAGGAATGTGTAGATGTTGAGTCGGTGGATTGTAACGAATCCCACATGAAGTTTCTCACCTGAAAGTCCACCAATCTGACGATGTGCGGGTCGTCCACTTTCTTGAGGCACTCGATTTCGCGTATCAGATTCTCCAAGGCGGTTTTCTTTAACTTCTTCGTCGAGACGCACTTCACAGCCACATACTCCCCGCTCTTCTGCATACAGGGCAACCAGAAAATGGATTGGAACATATTTATTAACAAAATCCATGCTTTGTACTTCGTTCTGACCAGAAATACAATACTCCCAATACAAGCTAAAATACCACAACCGATACCATGTACTTGTACTTGACATTGCCATTGAGGCAGCTGATCAGCTGTACTGGACCTATAGTAGTAGTACTACTGTACTAGTACCTCGCCGTGGCACGTGCGTACACGTTGCTGTGACAAATCGGTACGGTTGGCTATTCTCAGGTTCAACATTGGAGCCTTTAAATACGTGGATTAATTCAGCACTTCCGGAGAATAAAATTGATTGCAACAATTATTGTAAATGCGAAAATTAATGTGATATCATTCTGTTCCTGCAGAGTGAAGGGTTATTCTGCCGCACCTGATCACGAGCCTTGTAGACCGTAGCATACGAACCACTGCCAATCTGATGCAGCAAAGAGCACCCGTTGACTTTGGGCAAGTCCGACGAGGCTCGCTTCTGTACTTTCGCCATTTCCTACTCTCAGATGAGTCGGTATTGAAACTCGACCTTACAACGAGACTGGCACATCGTTGCTGGGCTCAGCTGGTGTTCCAAGTCATTGTGGACACTCAAGGTCTCTGGCGTCGAGATATTTGGAAAAAAACAGGTAATTCCTACATCAAATGAATCCACCATACCGAGATCCGACAGCCTTTCCTCAGCTAGCTCGGGACCAAGAAAGTACAAGTAACGTTGCAGAACATATTCCTTCGACACCTTTTGTGATGATTATCCTGCTGCTCGGTGTAGGACCAGTTTTCATTTTTTGAATGCATCACAGGGATTTCCCCTTGGTAAGCCGCCTGCACGGCGGGTTTATGGTTGTAGTCAGGAGCACTACGCGTCCTCGCCTTGTAACATGCTGTCAAAATCGAAAAACATGTTAAGGGGGCTCAACCCCGAAGAGGGAGCAAAAAATATTATGGTAAATCGATCTGAACTGTGTGTTTTCAGATGGCCAGACACCTAGAGAACTGGTCTGGGCTATTTCAAGGATAGGTTTATTATGTGGTTCCCCAGCTATGGGGGTGTTATTGTACCTATGTTTTTCGGCAAAAATTCAATGATTTCTCACTAAAGGCGTAAAATTCCAGTTGGTAATGCTTCAAAAATCCTGAAAGTGGGTATGGAGGGGCCTACAATACTGTCTCCTTTGGAAAATGTCCACAACATATGACCAGACCACTGTGAGAGGCCAAGGTAGCCCAGAATGTGATTTGGCAAAACGCGTATTTCAGCAGACCGATCTTTAGACTTGTTTGAATAGTGGAGAATCGAGACAATAACATGGTCCATTTTATGGTCATTATCTGCTCTTCAAGGCCATAGGAAGGCTCTACAAAAATAGATTTTTATGTCCACCATCTCGTTTCTCCGTGAGAAACAAAATTTGTGACGGATTTTGCATATTCAACTTGAAAGTCAGATTCAGCATTGTTGACAAAATGAGTGTATCGACTTCATTCAAGCTTCACTTTGACTATGTAGGGCGAGAAGCATTTGCTATAGACCAATCCCAGACAATACCCCATGCAACAGTCACAACTGAATTGTGTTATTCACATCTTTGTTGTATATTGTGAGTATGTACATACATTTTCTAGGGTACCCTGTAAGAAGGCCTTAGCCTAGGCCTGTGGGGATTGCCCTATCAAAAATTTGATAATAATAATAATACTATAATGTACATACATACATACATACATGCATGGGTATATCAATGTACAAAACAACGGATTATAAGTATAACGCTTTCAATGAGCAACTTGAGTTGCTTGGTTACTGCTGGATGCGATGGCTAGCAGCCACTGTTGGTATTGTGAGTTCGCGCCTCCAGTGTGCAGCACAACGTGAATGTTTGAGCAGATAACTGCAGCATCATCACGAGTGGTAGAAAGTGGGGACGATGCTGCACCTCCTGCAGCTGCTGGAGTACTTGTGCGGTCTGGAGCAGTGTGTAAAATAGGGGTGTTGGTGTTGGGTCTTCCAGATGCTAGATGATGTGTTATGCGTTTTGCAATAGCAGAACTCGTTGTGACTAGCACACGCCCATCGCCACCCGGTTCGTGCAATAATCCAAGGATGCCAGTTCCCTGATTCCTCTCAAATGCCAACACCAGATGATTGTACCTGTAGGCATGATATATAACGTTGTTGTTGTTGTTGTTGTTGTTGAAGTAGACTTCTACAAACACCCATGGTGCAGCGAAACTCCCACTCCAGCTTGTTTGCTGAGACTGTGACAGAAGCCTGACTAGTGCTGCAATGTGTACTGCTGTGATTCATGATTTCAGTTGACATTCCTTGCCTTGCCTTGCCTGGGTAATATTGCAGTTCTTCACAACATGCATAACACAATTTTATGCTGCATTTACAGTCTAGGTCAAGGCCGAGCTCATGAAAATGTGGCAACTTGACCATGCATAATATTACGTGTCTGTGACTGTCTCTGCTCAAGTTGTTCTACAAGGCATATTGCCAATATTTCAATATTCATTTTTATAATATTATACAGATTCCTGTCATAGTTCAATGATACAAGCACAGCCATACTACCTTGAACCCACAGCCTTCTCCTGAGAAACACAGGCACATGTCAGAACTCACCCAGTGCAGCCTTAGAGTTCATAGGATCCATGCTTTCCACTCCATCCAGCATGAGACTCAGATGTCTGACCAAATTCTCCTGCCCACACATAGAACACTTCACTGGCATGTCCCTATGCTGTTTATATATACTGGCTGTTCCAGACCACACTCATTACTCACAGAGATCAAGTCCCTACTTGCAGACACTACACTCTGACTCCACTATCTCCAGGTACTGCAGGTACAAGACCAGTTTTTCTCTCACAGTCGTCAGTAACATTTTTATCTGGCGACTGGAAAAGAAAAAATAGATATCGTTCCAAGTGCCACTCAAGTGGATGCACTTGAACTTGAGAGAAGCATGTCACTTACCTGCGTTCTGAGACTGGTACATGTATCACTGGTAGCTGGGCTCTGGACAATCTTGCAGGTTTACTTGTCTTCACTGGCAGGCGAGACTGAGAAAAGGGCATATCTGAGCTGGAAGTTAGAACTACACGACCTGAAGAAGCTTGACCTGAAGAAGATTGAACACGCTTTGTTCCTGAGCGCCCACGAAAACGGCCGTGCCTATTGATAACTACAAGTACTTGACGCGAAACTCCATCGATCGCCGACATCCAGCAAACCAAATGGAAAACACAAAACGTTCAAACTGTTCAAGGACTGCAGTTTCTTTGAATTCTCGCAAAATAAACTTTTGAACACGACTATTTCTCGCAAAAAAACTTTCTCCAGCCGCGGACAAAATGTTTTCAAACGCGAAATTTTGCATAAAATCATGCCCAGATTTCGATGCGCGCGCAGAAGTACTGAGCCCCCTTAACTACCAAGCAAGGCTTCTGTATATACGGCTACGACTCGTAGATCTACAACAGCACATGTGACTTGGAAGCGAAGTCGGTCATGTGTCCACCCGGACCCGCCGTTATGCATGCCTGCTACATAAGTACAAAAATTTGAACCACATCTACACAGCTGGATCGCGGACCGAACGACACCGACCTCTTGAACGCGGACTTGTCGCCTACGGACGACTTCAACGGCGAAGGAACGAAGTTTTCAAGTGCGGCAGCGTGGTACATGGTAGAAACTATCTCGTTATGTGCAATGTCGAAAAATACCTTCTTCTTTCATAGGAGTGTTCTGTAGAACTTGAAGCTTGCTGCTGTAAAACAGTTGCGAGCGCTGTCAACCAGCGCAGAGCGATACTACGCCCTTCAATTCGTCTCCAACCTTCCGTGCAAGTCTCTCTGCTACTGCAGTGCAACCGAGTCCTCTGTCTGGCCAGTCGTGATTATCCAACGACGACTACAAAAAGCGTGCACGTGTTCGGATTTGCAAGCACACCGATCCGCATCATTTCGGAAAAATCACCGCCCAGGCTCCTTAGAAAGTTTCTAGCGACTGTTCAAGGCGAAGCCTGAAGACTGGATAAGGTTCACCTTCACGCGTTAGTCGCTGACATCCGCTAGAAGCCGGTGCCGTTGAAGGTTGGAACGAGAATGGCTACGTAGATCCTCGTCATTGCATGAATCTGGGCATCTGTGGACGCCCGGCGACGGAAGATGAGTGATTTGTCGGCGGAGGCCTCGGTCATAGCCCATGATGCGCCGTCAATATGTGCACACGATCTGGACGGTAAGACGGGCGCTTTTTTGTTTACTACAATTTTGCTCTGTTGGAGAAATCCCTGCTCCAACCACTGATCGGCTACCACCACTGCTGCTACCATCGCTACTACCACTGCTGCTATCATCCCCGCTGCTACAGAAGCCGCTACTGCCACCACCGCTGCTACCACCACGTCTGCCACCCACGCTGCTACCACCACTGCTGCGGCTACCACTGCTGCTACTACCACTGCTGCTACTACCACTGCTGCTACTACCACTGCTGCTACCACCGCCACTGCGGCTACCACCACTGCTGCTACCACCACTGCTGCTGCTACCACCACTGCTGCGGCTACCACCACTGCTGCGGCTACCACCACTGCTGCAGCTACCACCACTGCTGCTGCTACCACCACAGATGCGGCTACCACCACTGCTGCTGCTACCGCCGCCGTTGCTCTCACCGACCTTGCTGCTGCTGCTGCCACTGGCACCACCACCGTTGTTGTCCCCGTTACTGCTGCATATACCGCTGCTGCTGTCAATGGTACTTGTGCCACCCACTCTGCTTCCACCGCTGCGGCTACCACTACTGCTGCTACCACCACCGCCGTTGCTCCCACCGTCGTTGCTCCCACCACGGTTGATTCCACCACTGTTGCTTCCACCGTTGCTCCCACTACCCTTGCTCCCACCACTGTTGCTCCCACCACGGTTCCTCTCACCACCATTGCTCCCACCACCGTTGCTCCCACCACCGTTGCTCCAACCACCGCCGTTGCTCCCACTACCGTTGCTCCCACCACCATTCCTCTCACCACGGTTGCTCCCACCACCATTGCTCCCATCGCAGTTGCTTCCACCACCGTTGCTCCCACCACCGCCGTTGCTCCCACAACCCTTGCTCCCACCGCCGTTGCTTCCACCACCGTTGCTCCCACCTACCCCGTTGCTCCCACCGCCGTTGCTCCCACCACCGTCGCTTCCACCACCGTTGCTCCCACCACCACTATTGCTCCCACCACCGCTGCGGCTACCACTGCTGCTGCTACCACTGCTGCTGCTACCACCGCTGCTGCTACCACTGCTGCTGCTACCACCGCTGCTGCTACCACCACTGCTGCTACCACCGCTGCTGCTACCACCGCTGCTGCTACCACTGCTGCTGCTACCACCGCTGCTGCTACCACTGCTGCTGCTGCCACTGCTGCTGCTGCTACCACTGCTGCTCCTACCACCGCTGCAGCTACCACTGCTGCTGCTACCACGGCTGCTGCTACCACTGCTGCTGCTGCCACTGCTGCTGCTGCTACCACTGCTGCTACCACTTCTGCTCCTACCACCGCTGCTGCTACAACCGCTGCTGCTGCTACCACCGCTGCTGCTACCACTGCTGCTGCTCCCACCGCTGCTGCTACCACCGCCTCTGCTACCACCGCTGCTGCTACCACTGCTGCTGCTACCACCGCTGCTGCTACCACTGCTGCTGCTACCACTGCTCCTGCTACCACCCCTGCTACTGCTATCACCGCTGCTGCTACCACTACTGCTGCTACCGTCGCTGCTGCTGCCACTACTCCTGATGCCACTGCTGCTGCTCCCACCATCGCCATTGCACCCACCACCGTTGCTGCCACCACCAATGCTCCCACCGCCGTTGCTCCCACTACCGTTGGTTCCGCCACGGTTGCTACCACCATCAGCGTTGCTCCTACCGCCGGTGCACCCACCACCATTGCTCCCACCGCCGTTCCTCCTGCCACTTTTCCTCTCACCACCGTTGCTCCAACCACCTCCGTTCCTCCCGCTACCGTTTCTCCCACCACCCTTGCTGCTGCTGCCACTGCCACCACCCTTGCTGCTGCTGCCACTGCCACCACCCTTGCTGCTGCTGCCACTGCCACCATCGCTGTTGTTTCCCCTGTTCCTGCTGCCAACACCGCTGCTGTTGCCACTGGTGCTTCTGCCACCCACACTGCTACCATACCTGCTGCTGCCACCGCAGCTGCTACCACCTCTGCTGCTACCACTGCTGCTGCTACCACTGCTGCTGCTACTACTGCTGCTGCTACCACCGCTGCTGCTACCACTGCTGCTGCTGCCACCGCTGCTGCCATCACCGCTGCTGCTACCACTGCTGCTGCTACCACTGCTGCTGCTACCACCGTTGCTTCTACCACCACTGCTGCTACCACTGCTGCTACATCTCTGCTGCTACCACCGCTGCTGCTACCCGCGCTGCTGCTACCACTGCTGCTGCTACCACCGCTGCTGCTACCACTGCTGCTGTTATCACCGCTGCTACTACCACCGCTACTGCTACCACTGTTGCTGCTACCACCGCTGCTGCTACCACTGCTGCTGTTACACCTGCTGCTGCTACCACTGCTGCTGCTACCACTGCTGCTGCTACCACTGCTGGTTCTACCACCGCTGCTTATACCACTGCTGCTGCTACCACCGCCGCTGCTACCACCACCACTGCTGCTACCACTGCTGCTGCTGCTACCGCTGCTGCTACTACCACTGCTGCTGCTACCACCGCTGCTGCTACCACCGCTGCTGCTACCACCACCGCTGCTGCTAGCACTGCTGCTGCTACCACCGCTGCTGCTACCACTGCTGCTGCTACCACCGCTGCTGGTACCACTGCTGCTGCTACCACTGCTCCTGCTACCACTGCTGCTGCTACCACTGCTGCTGCTGCCACTACTCCTGATGCCACTGCTGCTGCTCCCTCCACCGCCATTGCTGCCACCACTGTTGCTCCCACCGCCGTTGCTCCCACTACCGTTGGTTCCGCCACGGTTGCTACCACCATCAGCGTTGCTCCCACCGCCGGTGCACCCACCACCATTGCTCCCACCACTGTTCCTCCTACCACTTTTCCTCTCACCACCGTTGCTCCAACCACCTCCGTTCCTCCCGCTACCGTTTCTCCCACCACCCTTGCTGCTGCTGCCACTGCCACCATCGCTGTTGTTTCCCCTGTTTCTGCTGCCAACCCCGCTGCTGTTGCCACTGGTGCTTCTGCCACCCACGCTGCTACCATAGCTGCTGCTGCTGCCACCGCAGCTGCTGCCACCGCAGCTGCTACCACCTCTGCTGCTACCACTGCTGCTGCTACTACTGCTGATGCTACCACCGCTGATGCTACCACTGCTGCTGCTACCACTGCTGCTGCTACCACCGTTGCTTCTGCCACCACTGCTACTACCACTGCTGCTACACCTCTGCTGCTACCACCGCTGCTGCTACCAGCGCTGCTGCTACCACTGCTGCTGCTACCACCGCTGCTGCTACCACTGCTGCTGCTACCACCGCTGCTGCTACCACTGCTGCTGCTGCTGCTACCACAGCTGCTGCTACCGCTGCTGCTTTTACCCCTGCTGCTACCACCGCTGCTGCTACCAGCGCTGCTGCTACCACTGCTGCTGCTACCACTGCTGCTGCTACCACTGCTGCTGCTACCACTGCTGCTGATACCACTGCTGCTGCTACCACCGCTGCTGCTGCCACCGCCGCTGCTACCACCATCACCGTTACTCCCACCACCATCACTACACCACCACCGTTGCTACCACCGCTGCTGCTCCCACCACTGCTCCTCCCACCACCCATGCTGCTGCCGCTGCTTCCACCGCTCCTGCAATCACCGCTGCCCCCACCACCCTTGCTGCTGCTACCACGGCTGTTGCTCCCACCCCGTTGCTCCCACCACCGTTGCTCCCACTACCGCCGTTGCTTCCACTACCGTTGCTCAAACCACCGTTGCTCCCACCACCGTTGTTCCCACCACCGTTGTTCCCACCACTGTTGTTTCCACCACTGTCGTTGCTCCCACCACCGCCGTTGCTCCCACCACCGCCGTTGCTCCCACCACCGCCGTTGCGCCCACTTTCGTTGCTCCCACCACCGCCGTTGCTCCCACTACCATTGCTCCCACCGCCGTTGCTCCCACCACCGTTATTCGCACCGCCTTCGCTCCCACCGCTGTTGCTCCCACCACCATTGCTCTCACCACCGCCGTTGCTCCCACTACCGTTGCTCCTACCACCGTCGCTCCCACATGTTGCTCCCACCACCGTTGCTCCCACTACTGTTGTTCCCGCCACCGTCGCTCCCACCACCGTTGCTCCCAACGCCGTTGATGCTACTGCTGCTACCGCCACCACCGCTGATGTTGCCCCGTTCCTGCTGCCAAAACAGCTGCTGCTACCACCGCTGCTGCTACCACTGCTGCTGCTACCACTGCTGCCGCTACCACTGCTGCTGCTACCACCGCTACTGCTACCACTGCTGCTGCTACCACTGCTGCTGCTACCACTGCTGCTGCTACCACTGCTGCTGCTACCACCGCTACTGCTACCACCGCTGCTGCTACCACTGCTGCTGCTACCACCGCTGCTGCTACCACCGCTGCTGCTACCACTGCTGCTGCAACCACTGCTCCTGCTACCACCGCTGCTGCTACCACTGCTGCTCCTACCACCGCTGCTGCTACAACCGCTGCTGCTGCTACCACCGCTGCTGCTACAACCGCTGCTGCTGCTACCACCGCTGCTGCTACCACTGCTGCTGCTACCACCGCTGCTGCCACTGCTCCTGATGCCGCTGCTTCCATCGCTACTGCCATCACCGCTGCCCCCACCACCCTTGCTGCTCCTACCATGGCTGTTGCTCCCACCCCCGTTGCTCGCACCACCGTTGCTCCCAATACCGCCGTTGCTTCCACTACCGTTGCTCAAACCACCGTTGCCCCCACCATCGTTGTTCCCACCGCCGCCGTTTTTCCCACCACCGGCATTGCTCCCACCACCGTTGCTGCCACCACCGTTGCTCCCACTGCCGTTGCTCCCACTACCGTTGGTCCCGCCACGTTTGCCACCACCATCAGCGTTGCTCCCACCGCCGGTGCACCCACCACCATTGCTCCCACCACCGTTGCTCCCGCCACCGTTTCTTCCACCACCGTTCCTCCTACCACTTTTCCTCCCACCACCGTTTTTGCAACCACCTCCGTTCCTCCCGCTTACCGTTTCTCCCACCACCATTGCTGCTGCTGCCACCATCGCTGTTGTTTCCCCTGTTCCTGCTGCCAACACCGCTGCTGTTGCCACTGGTGCTTCTGCCACCCACGCTGCTACCATAGCTGCTGCTGCCACCGCTGCTGCTACCACCTCTGCTGCTACCACTGCTGCTTCTACCACTGCTGCTGCTACCTGCGCTGCTGCTACCTCTGCTCCTGCTACCTGCGCAGCTGCTACCACCGTTGCTTCTACCACCACCGCTGCTGCTAGCACTACTGCTGCTACCACCGGTGCTGCTACCAATGTTGCTGCTACCACCGCTGCTGCTACCACCGCTGCTGCTACCACCGCTGCTGCTACCACCGCTGCTGCTATCACTGCTGCTGCTATCACTGCTGCTGCTACTTCTGCTCCTGCTACCACCGCTGCTGCTACCACTGCTGCTGCTACCACTGCTGCTTCTACAACCGCTGTTGCTACCACTGCTGCTAACACCGCTGCTGCTACCACCACTACTGCTACCACTACGGTTGCTCAAACCACCGTTGCTCCCACAGCCGTTGCTCCCACCACCATTCCTACCACCGCCATTGCTCCCACCAGCGCCGTTGTTCCCACTACCGTTGCTCCCACCGCCGTTGCTCCCGCCACCGTTGCTCCCACCATCGTTGCTGCAACCACCGTTACTCTCATCGCCGTTGCTCCCATCACCGCCGTTGCTCCCACCACCGTTGCTCCCACCACCGTTGCTCCCACAACCGTTGCTCCCACCACCGGCGTTGCTCCCACCGCCTTTGCTCCCACCATCGTTGCTCCCACCACTGCCGTTGCTCCCACTACCGTTGTTCCTACCACCACCGCTGCTGCCACCACCGTTGTTCGCACCGCCGTTGCTCCCACTGCTGTTGCTTCCACCGCCATTGCTCCAACCACCTTTACTCCCACCACCGTTCCTCCCACCACCACCATTGCTCCCACCACCGCTGCTACTACCACTGCTGCTGCTACCACCACAGCTGCTTCCACTCCTGCTTCTACCATGGCTGCTGCTTCCACCGCAGCTGCTACCACTTCTGCTGCTACCACCGCTGCTGCTACCACCGCTGCTGCTACCACTGCTGCTGCTACCACTGCTGCTACCACCGCTGCTGCTACCACTGCTACTGCTATAACTGCTGCTGCTACCACTGTTGCTGCTACCACTGCTGCTGCTACCACTGCTGCTGCTGCTACCACCGCTGCTGCTTACACTGCTCCTGCTAACACCGCTGCTGCTACCACCGCTGCTGCTACCACCACCGTTGCTCCCACCACCGTTGCTCCCACTGCCGTTGCTACCACCACCGTTGCTCCCACTACCATTGCTCCCATCACCGCCATTGTTCCCACCGCAGTTGCTCACACTACTGTTCTTCCCACCACCGTTGCTCCCACCACCGTTGCTGCCACCGCCGTTGCTTCCTGCGCTGCTGCTCCCTACATCGCTGCTCCAACCACCATTACTCCCACCACCGTTGCTCCCACCACCGCCGTTGCTCCCACTACCGTTGTTCCCACAACCGTTGCTTAAACCACCGATGCTCCCACCCACGTTGCTCTCATCACCATTGTTCCCACTACCGCCATTGCTCCCACCACCGCCGTTGCTCCCACCGCCGTTGTTCTCACTGCTGTTGCTCCCACCACCGCTGTTGCTCCCACCGCCTTTGCTCCCACAACCGTTGCTCTCACCATCATTGCTCCCACCATCGTTGCTCCCACCGCCGTTGCTGCCACCACCGTTGCTCTCATCGCCGTTGCTCCCAGCACCGCCGTTGCTCCAACCACCGTTGCTCCCATCGCCGTTGCTTCCACGACCGCCATCGTTCGGAGCCTCCAACCACCGTTGCCGCCACCACCTCCGTTGCTCCCACCACCGTTGCTCCCACCACCGTTGCTCCCACTGCCGTTGCTACCACAACCGTTGCTCCCACTACCATTGCTCCCATCACCGCCATTGTTCCCACCGCAGTTGCTCACACTACTGTTCTTCCCACCACCGTTGCTCCCAGCAAAATTGCTGCCACCGCCGTTGCTTCCAGCGCTGCTGCTCCCTACATCGCTGCTCCAACCACCATTACTCCCACCACCGTTGCTCCCACCACCGCCGTTGCTCCCACTACCGTTGTTCCCACAACCGTTGCTGAAACCACCGTTGCTCCCACCCACGTTGCTCTCATCACCATTGTTCCCACTACCGCCATTGCTCCCACCACCGCCGTTGCTCCCACCGCCGTTGTTCCCACTGCTGTTGCTCCCACCACCGCTGTTGCTCCCACCGCCTTTCCTCCCACAACCGTTGCTCTCACCATCATTGCTCCCACCATCGTTGCTCCCACCACCGTTGCTCCCATCACCGCCGTTGCTCCAACCACCGTTGCTCCCACCACCGTGGCTCCCACCGCCGTTGCTCCCACCGCCGTTGCTCCCACTACCGTTGTTCCTACCAACGTTGTTCCCATTGCCGTTGCTCCCACCACCGTTGCTCCCACCACCGTTGCTCCCACCACCGTTGTTCCCACCACCGCCGTTGCTCCCACTACCTTTGCTCCCACTACCGTTGCTCATACCACCGTTGCTCCCACCACCGTTGCTCCCACCACCCTTGCTCCCACCACCGTTGCTCCCACCACCGCCGTTGCTCCCACCAACGCTGCTGCTACCAACGCTGCTGCTACCACCGCTGCTGCTACCACTGCTGCTCCCACCAACGCTGCTGCTACCACCGCTGCTGCTACCACTGCTGCTGCTACCACTGTTGCTGCCACCACCGATGCGGCTACCACTGCTGCTGCTACCACTGCAGCTGCTACCACCGCTGCTGCTACCACTGCTGCTGCTGCCACCACCGCTGCGGCTACCACCGCTGCGGCTACACTGCTGCTACTACCACCGCTGCAGCTACCACTGCTGCTGCTACCACCCCTGATGCTACCACTGCTGCTGCTACCACTGCTGCTGCCACCGCTGCTGCTGCCACAGCTGCTGCTGCCACCGCTGCTACCATTGCTACTGCTACCACCGCTGCTACCACCGCTGCTGCAAACCACCGCTGCTGCTACCACCGCTGCTGCTACCACTGCTGCTGCTACCACCGCTGCTGCTACCACTGATGCTGCTACCACTGCTGCTGCTACCACCGCTGCTGCTACCACTGCTGCTACCATTGCTGCTGCAACCACTGCTGCTGCTACCACTGCTGCTGCTACCATTGATGCTTCTGCCACCGCTGCTGCTACCTCTGCTGCTACCATTGCTGCTGCAACCACTGCTGCTGCTACCACTGCTGCTGCTACCACTGCTGCTGCTACCACTGCTGCGGCTACCACTGCTGCTGCTACCACTGCTGCTGCTACCACCGCTGCTGCTTACACTGCTGCTGCTAACACCGCTGCTGCTACCACCGCTGCTGCTACCACGATCGTTGCTCCCACCACCGTTGCCCCCACTACCATTGCTCCCACCACCGTTGCTCCCACTTCCATTGCTCCCACCACCGCCATTGTTCCCACCTTAGTTGGTCCCACTGCCGTTGCTCACACTACCGTTCTTCCCACCACCGTTGCTCCCACCACCGTTGCTGTCCCACCTTCGTTGCTCCCACCGCCGTTGCTAACACTACCGTTCTTCCCACCACCGTTGCTCCCACCACCGTTGCTGCCACCGCCGTTGCTTCCAGCGCTGTTGCTCCCTACATCGCTGCTCCAACCACCATTGCTCCCACCACCGTTGCTCCCACCACCGCCGTTGCTCCCACTACCGTTGTTCCCACAACCGGTCCTGAAAGCACCTACGTTGCTCCCATCACCATTGCTCCCACTACCGCCATTGCTCCCACCACCACCGTTGCTCCCACCACCATTGTTCCCACCGCCGTTGCTCCCACCACCGCCGTTGCTCCCACCACCTTTGCTCCCACTACCGTTGCTCCCACTACCGTTGCTCCCACCACCGCCGTTGCTCCCACCACCTTTGCTCAAACCACCGTTGTTCCCACCGCCGTTGCTTCCACCACCGTTGTTCCCACCACCGCCGTTGCTCCCACTACCGTTGCTCAAACCACCGTTGCTTCCACCACCGTTGCTCCCACCACCCCCGCTCCCACCACCGTTGCTCCCACCACCGCCGTTGCTCTCACCATCGTTGCTCCCACCAACGCCGCTGCTACCACCGCTGCTGCTACCACTGCTGCTGCTACCACTGTTGCTGCCACCACCGCTGCGGCTACCACTGCTGCTGCTACCACCGCTGCTGCTACCACCGCTGCTGCTACCACTGCTGCTGCTACCACAGCTGCTGCTACCATCGCTGCTGCTATCACTGCTGCTGCTGCCACCACCGCTGCGGCTACCACCGCTGGGGCTACCACTGTTGCTCCCACTACCGTTGCCCGCACAACCGTTGCTGAAACCACCGTTGCTCCCACCTTCGTTGCTCCCATCACCATTGCTCCCACTACCGCCATTGCTCCCACGACCACCGTTGCTCCCACCGCCGTTGCTCCCACTGATGTTGCTCCAACTACCGTTGCTCCCACTATCGTTGCTCCCACCGCCGCCATTGCTCCCACCACCGTTGCTGCGACCACCGTTGCTCTCATCGCCGTTGCTCCAACCACCGTTGCTCCCATTACCGCCGTTGCTCCCATTACCGCCGTTGCTCCCACCACCGTTGCTCCCACCACCGTTGCTCCCACCACCGTTGCTTCCACTACCGTTGCTCCCACCACCGTTGCTCCCACTATCGTTGCTCCCACCACCGTTGCTCCCACTACCGTTTCTTCCACCACCGTTGCTCCCACCACCGTTGCTCCCACCACCGTTGCTCCCACCACCGCCGTTGCTCCCACTACCGTTGTTCCCACCAACGTTGCTCCCACCGTCGTTGCTTCCACCACCGTTGCTCCCACCACCGTTGCTCCCACCACCGTTGCTCCCACCACCGCCGTTGCTCAAACCACCGTTGTTCCCACCACCGTTGCTCCCACCACCGTTGTTCCAACCACCGCCGTTGCTCCCACTACGGTTGCTCAACGACCGTTGCTCCCACCACCGTTGCTCCCACCACCGCCGTTGCTATCACCGTCGTTGTTCCCACCAACGCTGCTGCTACCACCGCTGCTGCTACCACTGCGGCTGCTACCACTGTTGCTGCCACCACCGCTGCGGCTACTACTACTGTTGCTGCTACCACTGCTGCTGCTACCACCGCTGCTGCTACCACTGCTGCTGGTACCACTGCTGCTGCCACCGCTGCTGCTGCCACAGCTGCTGCTGCCACCGCTGCTACCATTGCTACTGCTACCACCGCTGCTACTATCGCTGCTGCTACCACCGCTGCTGCTGCCACTGCTGCTGCTACCACTGCTGCTGCTACCACCGCTGCTGCTACCACTGGTGCTACCACTGCTGCTGCAACCACCGCTGGTGCTACCTCTGCTGCTGCTACCATTGATGCTGCTACCACCGCTGCTTTCTACCACTGCTGCTGCTACCACTGGTGCCTCTACCACTGCTACTGCTACCACTGCTGCGGCTACCACTGCTGCTACCACTGCTGCTGCTACCACCGCTGTTGCTACCACCGCTGCTGCTACCACCGCCGCTGCTGCCATTGCTGCGGCTGCCACTGCTGCTGATACCACTGCTGCTGCTACCACTGCTGCTGCTACCACTGATGCTGCTACCACTGCTGCTGCTTACACTGCTGCTGCTAACACCGCTGCTGCTACTACCGCTGCTGCTACCACTGCTGCTGCTACTACTGCTGCTGCTAACACCGCCGCTGCTAACACCGCCGCTGCTAACACTGCTCCTGCTACCACTGCTGCTGCTAGCACTGCTGCTGCCACTGCCGCTGCTACCACTGCTGCTGCTACCACTGCTCCTGCTACCACTGCTGCTGCTGCTACCACTGCTGCTGCTACCACTGCTGCTGCTAACACCGCTGCTGCTCCCATCACCCATGCTGCAACTGCTACCACCACCACAATCGCTGCTGCTGCTTCCACCGTTGCTGGCATCACCACTGCTCCCACCAACCTTGCTGCTGCTGCCACCACCACCACCGCCGCTGCTACCGCTATCACCACTGCTCTAACCACCTCTGCTGTTGCCACCACTGCCTCTGTTGGCTTCATCTCTGCGATTGCCGGTGTTTCTAGTTAAGAATTTTACTTCTTCGCACCGTATGTTTTTCTTTGCAGAGTTGGTGATTGCACTGAAGGCTATCGATGACCGGACAGTGGCCGACTCCCCGGAGTCACAGCACTTGCTCTCAGTGTCCAATGCTCTGCTGGCCAGGTGTCGCATCGAGCAGTGCCTCACCCTGGCAGCCAAGCATGGCTATCACACTATCGTTGACTACTTCATCAGGCGACACACGGACACGATGCAGCCCGTCACGCTGGCACTGGCAATGTGCATCTCGGTGCTGCACTCAAACGCCCATTCCTCCAGCCTGCTTAAATCCGTGTGCCGTGACCTGCAACGGCAGAGCATCCCGGACCCAGTAAACCCCGTTCTAGTGGCGTGTGCTGCGGGGAAACGAGACGCCGTCATCGAGCTGATGGAGAACACCGCCACACTGCCACCATCTTCTGCAGGCATTACTCCGCTTGTGATAGCCTGTGCTTGCGGCCAGACGGACACCGTGCGCTACCTAATGAGCAAGGGAGAGGACCTGTCGTGGAGCAGGGATGCGCAAGACGAGTTCCTGTTCGACGGGGAGCTCAACTTGACAACTGTTCGCATCGGACGGGATTTGCTGGAGACTTGCCTGCTCAATGCTCAGCATCAGCTGGCACTCTTTCTACTTTCCCGTGGCCTGTCTTTTTCAGCTGATGTTCAGCACGATGTAGCATGTCAGGAGGCACTGAAAAAGTGCCTGGCCGGACGGCTGACGGAGGCCCAAGACGGGGATGAACTGCCTGCGCCCGTTGATGAACCAGACGGTGCGTTGTCAGGCGGCCCAATTCAGGCTGCCTGGGACAACCTTGGCCTGGTGGAGATGAAGCTACCATGGATCTCGCACGCCGCCGCTACCCTGGTGCAGTTGAATATTGCTGACAACAAGATTTCTCATCTGCCACCGCAGGTGTTCAGTGAGCTGCCGTCACTTACTTCCGTCAATGTGTCCTATAACTGCTTGGTCACGTTAACCGTTCCAGATCGCCACGACAGGTAAGCTGTCAGCTTATTGTGCTATGAACTCAGATGTGGAGCCAGGAGTTTATATTGAAATGAAATGAATGGACCAAAATACTTTTTGTGAGTGGTTGTCCACCAATTTATTGCCATGTTACTGTGAGGGCAGAGCGTGCCACACTTGGCACAATACTGACGGCTGACACTGATTCCTGAGAACCTGACTGAATAAGCTCTCTATGGCCAGTATGGGTATAATGTCTTGGATGCGCTGAATAGCAGCCTTGCCGCCTGGAAGGTGTTTGATTGTAGGATAACTTTAGCCGGGTGAGGAAGTTGATGTGATAGAGCTGGCAGGCCCTTGGATGCCAGCATCAGCCGTCAGTGCCGTGCAAAGGCACAGTTTTGTCAGAGCCTTGCTGTACTTGGCTATTCAGTGTGGTAGCGTCTGTATGGGTAGCTCTGTATGGTTGGTTCTGTATGGGTGGTTCCGTATGGGTGGTTCTGTGTGGGTGGTTCTGCATGGGTGGTTATGTATGCTTGGCTCTGCATGGTCAGCTCTGTATTTTGGCACTGATGGGTGGCATTGCATGCTTGGTCGTATGCTTGGCTGTGTGTGTGTGGTTGTTCTGTATGATAACTGTGTATAATACTTCTGCATGGCTGCATTGTATTGTTGTTCAATGTCTGTGTCCACCCTTTGTCCAGCCTGACATCCATCAATGCTGCCAGCAATGCCATCACGTCGCTCTCGCCGTCCATCTTCCAGCTACCCAAACTGACCACGCTCACGCTGTCGCAGAACTCGCTGTCGTCACTGTGTGGCGCCGCCGGCGATGACCACTCCGAGTGTGCCAGTCTGGTCTCTAATGCTCCGCTGGCTGTCGTGGACGTGTCCGCAAACAAGCTCTCGCAGTGCCTGTGTCCGTTGAACCAGTTGCCCATGCTCACCGAACTCAACGTCGCAAAGAACGAGATCAAGACGCTACCGGCAAAGTGGAAGACGAATTGCTTTGTAAGAGATAGAGAGCCCAACTGCTCCGGGTTGTGTGAAATTTCGAACGTTTGGATTAAAAAAAATTCCTAGCTAAATGGTTTGGAACACTATTCTATTGAAACGTGTAGCCTTTAACGGATGGTGGGTCACGCGGAATGTGAAAATCTAAGCGGAAACCTTCACCTGTACAACTGTAACCGGTGTACGCTGCTGCATTCGGCGGGGCGTCTTCTAGAGCACTTTTTTTAGTACTCCCTGTTTGACAGAGTGCAGGTCACTAGTGTCCTGGCCGCTTGTGTAGTGAGCAATCCACCGTAACGTATGCTTTTATGCAGACGCATATGTGCATGGAATAGAATTTACCTTTTTTTGGCGTGCAAAAGGCATGGGAAGGTCTTTCAGAATTCCGTTTTCGGCGGGGAAGGCCGCACACTCGCCACACCGGTTCCGATGCCCCTGCATGCATGACAGTGGCAATGAGGAGCACGTGGCTAGTGATCTGTTTGTTGTACTGGATTGATGCCCACAAATGCTTGGTCCTTTCCCCATATTCAACTTGACATCATGGCTCACCCTATTCTCTGGTGTTTGACTGCAGAAACGCCTGATAGCGTTTAGCAATCGCCTTGAAGACTTTGCCCCGACTGGAAACTTCACCAGAGCGGAGTGCCCGGCGTCGTTTCAGGTGCTGGAGTTGCTCAACCTGTCCAAGAACTGCCTGAAGTTCGTGCCGCTGTCGGCATGCGCCATACCTCACCTCAGCGTGCTGGACCTGTCTCACAACCGCCTGTCCACCCTGCCCCCGCCGTATTTCTGGCAGTGCAGTCTCACCAAGCTAGATCTCTCTAACAACTGCCTGGTGTCAAACACGGAGGTCATTGTCATGGATGACACGGACGATGGGATCGACGAGGATGATCGGTAAGCCGGGATTTGTTGAGGAACAACGACTACACAATAGGGTTGTGACCTCAGTGCTGTTTGCGCTGTGGTCATTACCAGGGCTTGTACACTCTTTGACTAGTTTTGCCTAGCTACTCCTCACCGCGGGGCGCGTTCAGATTACCGATGAAAAGTGACGGAATCGCGGGGAAAGTGTCCAAGGTGATTTGATAACGTGACGTAACTTGCAGAGTTTGTTAAGTTTTCATCCAGCACAAACAGCTATTACCACTGTACAACAAACTAACACCTGCGCTTACCATTCGTGTTTTAGCCTTCGCGCAACTAAGAGACCACTTGTTTTTAGGGACCACCTGTCTTTAGAGACCACCTGCCTGGAGAGACCACCTGTATGCAGAGACCACCCGTATGCAGAGACCACCCGTATGCAGAGATCACCTGTATGCAGAGACCACCTGTATTCAGAGACCACCTGTGTGCAGAGACCACCTGTATACAGAGACTTGACGTGTCAGGCTCCAGACCATGCCTACAGACAGGTTCAAACCCATGTAGAAAGGTTGCTTTGACTATCTGCAAGGACCATGCACCTGGGTCTGAGGACTGACTGTATAGAAAGACCACTTGTCTATGGTGTTCAGTTATCTGTGTGTTGTACATGCGGCTGCATTTGTAGCTCTTCGTTTTACATGTTGCTGAACGGAACAGCTTGTCCCAATCGTTGACGACATGTGTATCGTAGTACAGTGTGTACTTGAAGTAACAGCATGCTTGGCTGTAGTAGCAACGCACGCTGTGTTCGTTTGACTCGTTCTGTGTTTGTTCGACTCGTTCTGTTTTTGCTTGGCTCTTGCTGTGTTCTCAGTTCGACTCCTTCTGTGCTTGTTTGGCTCTTGCTGTGTTCTCAGTTTGACTCCTTCTGTGTTTGTGTGCGTTTTTTGACTCCTTCTGTGTTTGTGTGCGTTTTTTTTTACTCCTTCTGTGTTTGTGTGCGTTTTTTTTGCCTCCTTCTGTGTTTGTTTGACTTCCACTGTGTCTACTATCCTCTAGGTATATGCTATACAAGAGTTCAGCTATGCATCAGCTCAAGAACAAATCAAAGACTTCGTCGCCGCTGGACCGGTCAAACTCTAGCTCCGAGCAAGGTTGGCTGAGCGTGTCCGGCACCAGGAACGAAGGGAGCACCGAGTTTGAGAGCGGCAAGTTTGACGAGATCCAGTTCCCGGTTCAGCGGTTTGCCACGTCGCTTGCCTACCTGCGGCTGGACCACAACAAGCTGGAGAACATCCCGCCCAGTATCTGTCAACTGCTGTCATTGGTACACCTTGATTTAAGCCAGTGAGTCGGTGGGGTCATTTACCAGTGTACTCAGGGCTCAAATCAGCGGGGATGCGTCCCATGTTTAGCATGTACGAGCTAGAGTGACATCCACTAAGGCTACCGTAAATCAGATTAGGGTACATGTACTCTGTTTTACATGTATATGTTGTTGGGGATGCTTTGCCTGGCGTACACGGCACGGTGCTTTGCCTGGCGTACACGGCACGGTTTAACACATGATGCCAGTTGCCATACCTGAAGAATAGACTGTTCTCTAACGCTACAGCATGTCCAGTGTCTGAATCGTGTGTGTGTGTTGCATGTGTGTGTGCGTGCGTGCGTGCGTGTGTGTGTGTGTGTGTGTGTGTGTGTGTGTGTGTGTGTGTGTGCATGTGCATGTGTGTGTGTGTGTGTGTGTGTGTGTGTATGTGTGTGTGCGTGCGTGTGTGTGTGTGTGTGTGTGCGTGCGTGTGTGCCCATGTATGCAAATCTACACACGCCTTCACAGCAATCCCGACTTGACGTTCTTTCTGCCGAGCCTGGGCAATCTGAGGAACTGCTTCCAGATTGGCATCCGCGGCCTCAGCATCACCAACGTGCCACGTGAGCTACTTCCAGGTCAGTACTGGTGGAGTCTAGTATGCACTGTCCCTGAGCCTCACACAATACATGTGGTGTATATGTCCATTGCATACACACATCTTATGTCATATACACCACTAGTTGAGGGAATGTAAAGGGGAAAAGTCTGGAGAAGAAAATGCCTGTCACCACCAGGACATCTTATGTCAGCGATCATTAACTTCAGCCAGCCATGTGCTGGGTATTGCTGAGTATTGTTGAGTTCTGAGCAGGCTACTTGCTCGCACCCTACCAGCTATCCATGAATACCCGGACTGCCATCCAGCCGTGTGATGAGTGCACCCATAGCATAATTAATTAATGTCCCAACTCCTGCCCTCCAACCAATTTGCACCTGTCAGGTATGTTGTTAGAACTTGTTACCTCTTCCTTTTACTGTACTTCACCTTCTTCATTCTTCTGTCTACTCCGGCAACTGATGGCCACCATGAGAATATAATAATTATGTGCTAAAAAATTCTTAAGATGGCCACTGGCCAATAAGGTAGCGGAGTAAGACTGAGAAGGTTGAAGGTGAGGAAGTGGAGGAATAAGATAGCAATGTAGTCGTTTGGTCACAACCCTGGGAACAGGTGTTTGCTGAGCAACGAGATATCACTGCTGGCGTGTTATTGCAGGTTCTCCGAGTGGCAACACACGCCGTGCACTGGCCTACCTCAGGGCCACGCTGCGTCAGAGCGAGCCCTACAATCGAATCAAGCTGATGGTGGTCGGGCTAGAGGTACGATGGCTAACACCACACTCACCATGCACATTGGCTTGTCGGCCATGCAGGTGTGATTCCTGATGAAAACAATTACTAGTAGCGCTAATATTTGTTCCCTTCATGATTCAAAATTCCCTCTGAACACGTCCTTTTCAAACCGAAATAGGCATTGCACCTGAAACATTACGCCGGGTGGAAACAGTACGTCTGTTTCCAGTAACCATAATGCTGCAGATGCAATGCCTCTTTTAGCCGTGTTTCATCAATCTCTTCTATTCATACCGACAGGAATGTACGAGTGTATGTAGGAATGTATGGCTCGTAAGTAAGCAGTGCGGGATTATGAAGTGCATGCTCACCTCATTCGCCACTAAGGTGAACAGGCATAGTGGTGGCCTGCGGATGCGAAGGCTATAGCTTGTATGTTTCTGAACATTCAAGTGATGCCAACGCGGATCCCGCGAATATTATGCTCACTGTCAAGTCGAGCTCCTGCATGTGTGTAGATACGGAGCGGCATTGTTTGTGTGTTGGTGCGGTTTTCAGTTCTCTGCACCGGGCTAAGCTTTCGGATGCTTGCATGTCCTGTGTCCTGTGTCCGTGGCAGGCCCGTGGCAAGACTTCGCTACTTGCTCGACTGCGTGGTGAGCCGCTACCCAGCAATGTATCGACAGTCGGCGTCAAGGTGGACAACTGGGAACTCAAGTCTTCTGCACCAGCCCAGCAGCCTTCCAAGGGCCCCAGCTTATTCAGAAGAGTATCACTGTCTACATCGACCACCTCGTCCGATGATGTAAGGGGAAAACCGATTTGTCATACTGGTACAGTAGAACTAACTGCTCTTCCCAGGGCACCTTGGGGCCGAAAGGGTTTCCATATTTCATAATCATCTGTATTTCGGAAATGCAGTACAGCCATGATAAAATTGACACATCGGTCTTGTCAAATTGGCTCACTAAACTAAAAATGATACCATTCGTAAGCATTCAAAATAGAAATAGGGCATGATTAGAAGAAGAAGAAGAAGAAGAAGAAAAACCTCTCCAAATCCCTCCAAACACTTCAACTACTTTCCGAATTTTCACCCAAGAGGGCTGTGTGTCTTCAGGGATAACATTCATATCATGACGAGGCTACAGAGGAGGTGCTCCATTCTCATTACATGATTGCTTTGGACTTTTTTTGTGGATGGTGTGCTGGTCAGTTGACCGCCTCAAAAGGCAAGATTTCTAAGATTTGACCACAGGTTCTACCTAAACGGTGCACGCCCGCCCAGTTGGGGGAGGTGTCTGGATAGGGGGGGGGGGGGGGGGGGGGGGTGGGAGGGGGTCAGGTTAGAGATTCCACTGGTGATCAAATCTTTAGAGCCTGGTTCGGGCCCGATTACCGTAATTTTATCAGAGTAGAAGCTGCACTGGAGTATAAGCCGCACCCAGAATTTTTGTCACGGAATACATACATCTAGCCTGTATGCCACGGTTTGTTTGACCATGGTCGTAGGCGCCGCACCGATTTTTTGGGGCGAATTACAATGTACGAGTGTTTAACGTGCGTCATATGCTCCGGAAAACCCGGTAGCAGTGATGATGCTGCATTGTACAATCTGTCTTAGCCTAAGACCCGGTAGCAGTGATGATGCTGCATTGTACAATCTGTCTAAGCCTAAGAGACCCGTGAGATACTGCAAATTGACACCGCAATGCTGTGCTTGTCTGTCTATCCCACTGTTATCGTCGCTGTGCTTGCCTGTCTATCCCACTGTTATCGTTGCTGTGCTTGTCTGTCTATCTCGCTGTTGTCGTCGCTGTGCTTGTCTGTCTATCCCACTGTTGTCGTCGCTGTGCTTGGGTGGTGGCGGTGGCACTCTATTGCAGAGCAGTCCCATTGTGCTGAGTACGTGGGACATGGCGGGACAGGTGGACTACTACGCCACTCACCAGTGCTTCCTGTCCAGTAACACTCTCTACCTGGCTGTATGGAAGCTGACCAGCGGGGAGACGGGTGTTGCCAGTCTCAAAACATGGCTTGTCAATATTCAGGTACGTTGCTATAAGAGAGAATCTGTGGGTGCATGTACAGTGCATTTGCTGATTTGCGTGTTTCACTTGAGACAGCCGTCTACATGGTACGTGATGTGTGCCTGTTGGTGTGTGCAGGTATGTTGGTGTGTGTGTGTGTGTGTGTGTGTGTGTGTGTGTGTGTGTGTGTGTGTGTGTGTGTTGGTGTGTGTGTGGGTGTGTGTGTGTGTGTTGGTGTGTGTGCATGTGTGTTGGTGTGTGCTTGTGTTCATGCATGTGTGTGTGCGTTCATGCATGTGTGTGTGCGAATCTATTTGTGTACGGCATTGTGTGCTGTTGTCACTGGTCATAGGCCAGAGCTCCAGGCAGTGCCGTGATCATTGTTGGCACACACTTGGATCAACTGTCACAAGTTGAACGTGAACGCAAGAAGTACTTGACCAAGATGAACACGCTCATCAAGTCCTCCTTCATTGATCAGAAAGGCTACCCGAAGATCGTGGGTGA